GTTTTTACTATATGCATATAGGGAAAATCAATGACCCCCTGGGGCGGGGCCAATTTTGACCCTAGGGCTTTTATTTGAACAAACTTGGTAGACACTCATTAGAAGATGTTTCATGCCAAATATCTAAGCTCTAGCTCTTACGGTTCTTTAAAAGAAGATATTTAAAGATTTTTCTTTCGGTTGCCATGGCAACCAGAGTTCTGCATGAAATGGAATTCTTTGAACAATCTTGATAGAGCTTCATACAAAGAGTATTCCTGCCAAGTTTCATTAACATTGGCCTTGCGGTATCATAGAAGATGTCCTTAGAATATTTAAAATGTGGACGGACGACAGACGACGGACGCCATTTGGTTGGCCATCCTAAAAGCTCACCTGCACTTTGTGCAAGGTGAGCTAAAAATGACGCAATTTTTAAAAATAGAAAAAATGACGCAATTTCTAAAAATAGAAAAAATGACTCAATTTCTAAAAATAGCAACAATGATGCAATTTCTAAAAATAGAAAAAATGTCGCAATTTCTAAAAATAGAAAAAATGACGCAATTTCTAAAATTAGAAAAAAATGACGCAATTTCTAAAAATAGCAACAATTTCTAAAAATAGCAACAATGATGCAATTTCCTAAAATAGAAAAAATGACGCAATTTCTAAAAAATAAAAAAAATGACGCAATTTCTAAAAATAGAAAAAATGACACAATTTCTAAAAATAGAAACAAGGACGCAATTTCTAAAAATAGCAACAATGACGCAATTTCTAAAAATAGAAACAATGACACAATTTCTAAAAATAGAAATAATGATGCAATTTCTATAAATAGAAATAATAGAAAGAATGACGCAATTCTATAAATAGAAACAATGACCCAATTCTATAAATAGAAACAATGACGCAATTCTATAAATAGAAACAATGACGCAATTCTAGTTGTTGTTGTTGTTGTAAATATATATATATACAGACACACACACACACACACCAATAAATATATAATTATGGTCATTTAATGCACAAATCTGAGAAAATTCAGTAATTTAACCTTCAAGGTCAAGGTCATTAAAGAGCCCAAGCAAATTTGGGTTTGATAAACAACAAGGTCTGGTCCTTAAGAATGTTCTCTTATAATATGAAGTTAATCCCTTCAATAATAGCAAAGTTACAGTCAGTTACCGCCAAAACAATGAAAATTTCAATAATTTGACCTTCAAAGACAATGTCATTAATGAGTGAAGGTCAAGGTCTTTCGGTATATTTTTAACAGTAATCTTTGAAGATTATTATGTTCAAGTTTCAAGACAATCCATTCAAAAATAACAAAGTTACAGCCAATAAAAGCCAAAAAAATGAAAATTTCAATAATTTGACCTTCAAAGTCAAGGTCATTTATGAGTGAAGGTCAAGGTCTGGCTGGTTATTTTTAAGGGATATCCTTAAAGATTATTATGTTCAAGTTTGAAGACAATCCATTCAAAAATAACAAAGTTACAGCCAATAACAGCATGAACAAGCAAAAATTGGACTTTTAACCTTGAAGGTCAAGGTCATTTATGGATGAAGGTCAAGGTTAGTGTGGTCTACTGAAAGATCTTGTCCCAAGGGTTGTTGTGGCCAAGTATGAAGACAATACACCAAGAAATAAAAAAGTTATGATCCAGGTACAAGTTTGCGGACGGCAATGGCAACGGCAATGTCAACGCCGACCTGACTATAACAATACCTCTACTTTTTTTTTCAAAAAAATAAAAGTCGAGCTAAAAATCATCGAACCATGACCAAATTCGAACTTCACCTGTATTTTCTCATGACATATCCATATGTCAAATTTGAGTTGAATGTGTCCAACCGTTCTTAAGATAATGAACGAAAACTGATGATGACGGAATGACAGAATGACGGAAGGATGGAAGGACGGAACAGGGTAACACTATATGCCCCGGCCATTACATGGCGGGCCGGGGGCATAAAAATCTTCCTACTGATCATGCATTGCTAGTTATGATGTTTTCCTTGTTCAGAGTGTCTTAAACAAGTGTGCTTTTTGTCTATAGGGCAAAAACTACTACACAGAAATGTTACGAACAGTTCATTCACGCCAGTTTAGTCCTCAGCCTCACGATAATAAGAGGAAAACAGGATACCCGGAAGGTCTGTGATACATATACAATTAACTGTTACTAATTAACAAAAAGTTATTATATCCATTGTCTGAGAATAACTAGAATGATGTCAGATTTGGTCTACTTATTGTTTTACAATATATGTCTTCAGCATTGATGAAGAACAAGGGCTGTCGGTAGGACAGCACGCTCGACTATTCTAAGTGCTGGTAGTAAAAGAGCCTTGATAATGTTAAATTTTTTAAGTTTACAAAAGGGCTAATTTTTTTAATAAATTCATGTTGTAGGCCTTAGAGAGAGTCTAATTATACAGTATTGGCTTGACTTTTCGGAAGGTAATGTCACAAGGGTGTTTTATCGAGTATAATAATACTAATTACCTATGAATACATAAATTTGACAGAAAAGGTACAAAGGCTTGTTATTAAGATGTTTTATCAAGTAAATCACTGCTTTATTATTATGAATGCATAAAATTGTCCCAAAAAAGGCACAAACCCTTCAGTAGTTATTGAGATAACAGCTTACAAGCAAAATTTTACCATGAATTTCTAAGTTGAAAAAGGGGAGAAAAATCAGCCTAAATGCAAGATAGAATTATGGATCTTTGTCAGTGACCTACAATTATGACCCTAAATGCATATGTGAAGTTTTAAATAAATATCTTTAATAGTTATTGAGATATGTAAAACTTGCATGTAAACATTAACCAAGAGACTAAGTAGAAAAGGGGATATGAATCAGCCTTAATGCAAGATAGAGTTATGGAACTTGGTCAGTGACATACAATTATGACCCTCCAATTATGACCCTTAGTGCATGTGTAAAGTTTCATGTAAATATCTTTGAAGACCTTTAACCTTTAACCAAAATTTCTAAGTTTCAAAGGGGCAAATAATTCTGCAAATATTGCAGACAGAGTTATGCAATTTTGCAAACTGATGAACATTGTTACTATAAAAAAGTATTTTAAATTTCAATTGAATATCTCAAGCAATAATTGAGATATTTGACTTTACAAAAAAACTTTAACCAAAATTTCTAAGTTCCAAAGGGGCATAATTCTGTCAGTATTGTAGGCAGAGTTATCCAACTTGTCAATCTGATGTACCTTGTTACTATAAATAAGTATTGTAAGTTTCAATTGAATATCTCAAGCAATAATTGAGATATTTGACTTTACAAAAAACTTTAACCAAAATTTCTAAGTTAAAAAGGGGCATAATTCTGCCAATATTGTAGGCAGAGTTATCCAACTTGTTAATCTGATGTACCTTGTTACTATAAATAAGTATTGTAAGTTTCAATTGAATATCTCAAGTAATAATTGAGATATTTGACTTTACAAAAAACTTTAACCAATGCAGACGCCGACGCGGACGCTGACGCGACTACAATAGCTCTCATATTCTTCGAATAGTCGAGCTAAAAATGAAAATGTCATAAGAGATTTCAAGTCATTTTGGCCCAAAGACATATCAACGGCCCCAAATTACCAAAGACGTTTTGGCCCTGGACTATGGCCCTTTACCAAATTGGCCCCATATTTTATTAACAATAAGTCTTACCTTTACGTGTTTTATACCAGAGTTTTAATAACATTTCTTAAATGAATGAATAAAAGGAATGAGAGACTTAATTGAATAATGAAATTATGATGTTGTAAAAGAATGAGGCTAAAATAGTAGTTATCAAAACAAACAGAACATAAACCTTATTTAGCAAAACAGTACACAAACACTGAAACAGATTTTTATCTGTTTATTATCAACAATATTAAAAAAAATTTGAACGATTAAAAAGCAAGACACAGAACAATACATGAAACAAACATTTATTATCAACAACTATTAAATTAATAGTAAGTGACCACTTTGACAACACATAACAGTTAAAAAATTATACTTGTACTTTCATGAAATAAAAGAAACAATACAAATGTAACCACACATTTTTATAAATAGCATTTTTTATGATAAAAGTGACAGATTTTTAATCAGAACATTACAATAATAATTCAAAATATTATCAAGAAATAATAACAAATCATAACTTAATTTTTTTTGGAAGTTTTCTTTGATATTATTTACCGCTAATTAGCAATAAGCTATAAATAATTCATTTGTTACACCCTGAAAAAATAACATTTATGATTTATCTTAATAGTAAAATTAAGAGATCCAGTAGATAATGTATTATTAATTAAGGATTAATTAAAGCTAGTGTCTTAATTGTTTGTGTGCCATCAATCAATCAAAATTATAACCATTTTAAGTATGAAAATTCCTTTTTAAATGTCATAAAAAGGGGCCGAAACATCTCGCGGAAAAGGGCTGAAACGTCTAGGGGCCAATTTTTGCACAGGGCTGGCACGTCCTGTTTGCTCTGACATGGTTTTAAAGTTGTTTAATTTATATAGAGATAAAACTGAAAAAAACTTGTCACCATTATTTGAAAACGCGCATTACCGTTACCTGAACCAATTTTTGCATGAATTTTTGTAGCAACCAGTATCTTTGTTGACTGTCCTGTATTTGGTGCAGTCAAAATCTGGTTCCATCCAGTGAAATTTGTACATGTGCCAGTTTGATTTAAGTTCAATTGTCATAAAATTTGTGATTGTCCGCTTAATTTTTTGTACAAATCAGAATACCCAATACATTAATTATTATGTGAATCATTCAGTTATAGGACAATGCACTAATTAGCATGCCATGTAGTCCTAATGAGTATGATAAATCAAGGAACATAATGATAAATGAAAACACATTATGAAAGTTATGCATGCATGCATGACAAATAAAAAAAGTTTCTCTTTCGTAAGAAAATATGAAATGACATTCATTTTGTATAATAGCAAAAGTTGTAAATAAACATTACCAATAACGTCCTTTAATTCATAATCTTCTCGTTTGTTCGACCATGGTACTTCACTCATGGTGAATTTGTGTTTGAGGAAGTTCACGACTGAACAACCTTGACCCTGAGACGGTGTCTATGTAAATTACGCGAAACAGGTAAAACGCCATTAAATGTTGGCTTTCTTACACCGCTAAATAATTCCGATCTGCTTCACAATGGTCATAATTAATGATTTGTTTCGCTACTTTGAGCAATGCCAATAAAATCACTGTGATATTGGTTTTATAAACTGCAAAAATAATATGCCAATTTCAATTTTCAAAACCTGGAAAACAGAAATAACGTTATATTCTGGTCCAAGATAAAACTTGAATCGAAAAAAAAAATATCAATCAGGCCTGCATATTTGAAAAGAGTGAGACTAAATAAAAGGATTGGAGCACCACACTAAATAACCGGGTATTCCGGTATATAATACCGGGTCAAAGGCGCTTGAATCGTAAAAATGCCAAAATCTTGCTTTTTTTACGCAAAACGGAATGAAACTTTAATAGGTCTAGTTCATCTTTTCACACTGATTTATGTATGATAATGCATGAAAAATGTTAAAATCAGCGACAAAACGATATTTATCTATTTTGTGATCATGATTTCTGCAAGCGTCTAGAGGTACTGCTCCAATCCTGTATTGAGCTAAATCCTATTTTTATTTGAAACACATATTTGATTGCTAATTGCCGTAATGTTTGAATAATACCACAACCGTAAGAATTACTATTCGAAGCGTGTCCACGGGGCAAGACTGTCCCTACATTCACCTGTTCTGTACATAATTCTGTATAATCACTGACAGATCTAACAAAGCAGACGAAGTTAAAGACAGAAAATGACTTTTTTTCTTATTTATTAGTATAGGGGATTCTATCGATATTCAATATATTTGCGTTCAAATACACAGGTGCGCAAGTAAACATAGTTAAATAATATTTTATTGTATAAATATACACACAAATCGGGTTTACGAAAATTTTTGTTAATTATCGAAACCTGACACAACAAAAATATAAAATTTTTTCTCAATTATACAAACATAACGATGAAATGTACATAAAAAGGGGGTTTAATTGTCCCAAAAGTTCAAAAACAACATTTTTCGGGGGCCCCTTCCTTTGGGGTTTAAACTAAAATTTAAAAAAATTTAAAAAAAAAAGTCTTAAAATGTTTGTTGTTTTTCTTTACTTGAACAAGAGTAGCTCTGCTAATGTCCAATGAATTTGCGTCAAAATACACTTGCACTTAGGTTTACATATTGACAACTTCACCCTGGATGAACAAGTTTTGTCACGTGACCACAAATGCAAACGCCGGTTTTCCATTTCAGCAATTACGGACCCGATTTCAGGTAATTATTTGAAGATATCTTTTTTTCTACTGCATCCACAAAATTAATATGAAATTAGGCAAAGCCTATGAACGGGGAAGTCGTTAAAAATTTCTTTCATTTTTTCCGTTTTAAAGGTGTCATTCGGTATTACATGCACCGCTTCCGTTTTCACTCGGAATACTCGACGATTATCATTTATCCGAAAAGTTGAGATTTGTTCCGTTATCGGAATACCCCGGCTATTATCATTGAGTTACATTGTAAATGGCGGCGCCCGACTAGAACTGACACCGAAAATTTCATCGATAGGTATAGAATTCTATATATTTTTTAATTGTTTTTTATTTGATTTTCTTTTAAATATACACGTGTAGTCTATAGCCGGGCAAGCGAAAGCCCGGACCCGCTTCGCGGGCCCGGTCTTTGATTCCCCTGTATGACCTAGACCTTAGGACGCGGCGTTAATTGAGCTTTTATTTTATGTATGTAGTAATTGCGAGGCTTCTGTGATTTTTTAGAACACTTCGAAACAAATGTTCTTTTTGGTAGGCAAACGCCGATAGGTTTTACCTTTTCTTATCTTTTTTGTTCACTGGAAACCTGTGTTGAGGAAAAATAATAAAAGATATATGTTTTTTTTACAAGTAATTTTCGTACCTAACTTATTCATAATTTCATTAGCAAGGTTATATTCGAGATAAACCCATATTTTCCACTTGTTGTCGATTTTGCAAACGTTCGTTTGATTATGTAAAATGGGCAAGACGTCGGTGTCATTTGAAAAATATATGCAAGCACCCGTTGATATCTTTTTGAAACGCTGAACTATATTTGTCTCATGTCCAGAGTTCCTCATCATATTAAAAACATTTCATTGCAAAACTGATTCTAATAACATTCTGGCCACTACGCCCCATGGTTTCCAGATTTATTGAATCTGTCGGAAGCTCAACCGTTAATTATGTCTTCTATGGTTACAAACGTGTTAACAACAACCAAAAATCTCAGATATGTCATCCAAATCCAGGTGTTCTGAAATTGACTGCATGGTTGCCTATCGACAGACAGCTTTTAGAGAAAAAAGTTTTTTCAAAACTTCTTACATAAACCCAGCCTGGAGAACTGGTACTTTCAGAAAGATTACTCCAGTAAATTAAGACAATTTATGATATGGTGTCGTCAAAAGAATATAGATTCATTCACAGCATCCTTAAATACTTGGGTGCTGAACTTTTTATCAGATTTGTACAATAAAGGTTTACAGTAGGTTACCACTGCTAATTATCTGCAGTTTTTTACCTCCAGTAGATAGCACACCTATTGGTCAACATCCGTTTGTTATCAGATAATTAAAAGTATTCAATTTTAAGAACTCCTGTAACAAAGTTGTTGCCTGAATGGGGATTTGCCTAAAGTTCTTAGTTCACTAACAAACATTTTCCTTTTGAACCTTTGAGAAAAAAACATCAATTGAATTTTTAACATATAAAGTTGTTTTTCTTACAGCTATCACGACATTCAGGGGAGCCAGCCACCTTCAAGCGTTAACATTAAAGGAGGAGCTATTTCTGTGAAGGCAGATGGGGAAACTTTTTAGCAGACAAGGTTTGGCTAAACAGCATAGACCGCTGGTCATTCATCAGCAAAAATTTTTGTAAACCAGCTTTTTAAGAACCATCCAAGAAGAGCAAGTTGCTATCTATCTTAAAAGAACTAAAATCCTTCAGACGTAAAGATTAAACAAGTTTATTTCTGACAATAAAATGTACCTCATTTCTAAAGCTTCTTCACAAACTTTGGCTTCAATATATTCTTAAAACTATTTAAGAGGCTTATGAAGATAAACATAAAAACCGAAACAGCACATTCTACAAGAGCTTTAGGTCCAAATTCTCAAACGGCTGCAGATTGGGGTCAAAAGAAAAATACCTTCGTTTAAAATTTTATTTGAAACAAGTAACTCCAAGTGATCTCACTGTGTATTCAACTGTTCGCTGTATAGTTCAACCTAAGAAGATGGAATTTTTTTCTACATTTTTAAAATCAAAGTTTATTCCCGACGGATTGTGTGTGGAATTGATTTTTGAGAAGATTATATGGTTTTATGTATACATGTATATATGAGATATACAGAAGTTTATAAAAGTTTGTTATTCAAGAAGAAGAATGTTTTAAAATAAAAAAAGGAGAAAAGAGAGAAGTCTTTTGTTCAGAGAATTGTAATATTTGCAACTTGACTTAAATAACCACCGGTTTATAAGAATCTTACACCGGCTGCCGGTACGGACCGGAATATCTGTCGAGTTTCCGCTTAATAGTTACCTGAGAGCTAGATATTCCCGTCTGTACCCACAGCCGGTGTTTGATTCTTTTTCTTGCATATTACATGTCAAATATTTTCGGAACAGAAATTATGAAAACTGATGTATATATCGCACTTTTTTCTTATTTTAGCGAATAAACATACAACTACATTCATAAAGGAAAAATGACGCCATCATAAGAACGCGATTCGTTCATTAAAGGCGCGTGTCAATGACGTCATTTAAAGCACGCGACTTGTCTTACATGGGGGTGTAAGACAGAGATTTCCAGCACCGGTGTAAACGGTAGATTATAAGAATCTTACACCGGCTGTCGGTACAGACCGGAATATCTAGCTCGAGAGTAACTGTTTACAGCGGTGACGAGGCTCTGCTGCCGAGTTCCCGCTAAACAGTTAACCGAGAGCTAGATATTCCCGTCTGTACCGACAGCCGGTGTTTGATTCTTTTTCTTTGCATATTACATGTCAATTATTTTTCGGAACAGAAATTATGAAAAAACTGATATTATCATTACGCACTTTATTCTTATATAGCGCATGAACATACAACTTCATTCATAACGGAAAAATGACGTCATCCTAAGAACGCGATTCATTCATAAAAGGCGCGCGTCAATGACGTCATTTAAAGCACGCGTCTTGTCTTACATGGGGGGTGTAAGACAGAAGTTTTCTAGCACCAGTGTAAACGGTAGATAATCCTGTCTGAGAATGCAAGAATATAAGAATCTTACAACCGGCTGCCGGTACAGACTGGAATATCTAGCTCGAGAGTAACTGTTTACAGCGGTAAACGAGGCTCTGTCGAGTTTCTGCTAAACAGTTACCAGAGAGCTAGATATTCCCGTCCTGTACTGACAGCCGGTGTTTGATTCTTTTTCTTGCATGTTACATGTCAATTATTTTCGGAACAGAAAATTATGAAAACTGATATTCTCATTTACGCACTTTTTTCCTAATAGTAGCGTATGAAACATACAAACTTCATTCATAACGGAAAAATGACGTCATTTAAAGAACGCGATTCATTCATAAAAGGCGCGCATCAATGACGTAATTTAAAAGCACGCGACTTTTCTTACATGGGGATGTAAGACAGAGTTTCTAGCACCGGTGTAAACGGTAGATAATCCTGTCTGAGATGCAAGAAAATCCTGTCTGAGATGCAAGAAATATTATATATCAATATGTGTTCATATCCGGCCGGCGTTGCATATTTTTACATGTTCAAAACGACGTTTTGCAAATTAGACAATACTGGGAATGACATGGGATTACGTCAAATATAACTTTGCTAATGGAATTATAAATGAGTTAGGGACGGGAATGGCATGTAAAAAGACATATCCTCTATTATTTTACCTCAACATGTATTTCCAGTGAAAAAAAATGATAGGAAAAAGTAAAATTATCGGCGTTTGCTTTGCGAAAAAAACATTTGTGTCGAAGTGTTCTAAAAAACTACTAAAGTCTAGTAATGACTACTCACATAACATAAAAGCTTAATTTACGCCGGGTCCTAAGCTCTATGTCTTATTTTTGTGCTTGCAGCGGAAAAAAAGATATCTGCAAATATTTGCTGAAATGTTAAATCGGCGTTTGCATTTGTGGTCACGTGACAAAACTTGTTCATCCAGGGTGAACTTTTCTTAGGAAATTCCATGGATCTTGCATTACATTTTTGGAGTTACACGAACTAAAAACATTAATCACGGTTTTTAAATCAAGCCGTCAAAATACACTTGCACTATTGACAACTTTTCTTTTGAACGAGTTGAATAAAATTTATATTATGCGAGCCTCTTGCGAGCATAATATTATTTTATTCAACGAGTTGAATAAATTCAGTAATGAACTTACACGAATTTAATATTCTACTTATCACATACCAAAAATGAAGACCGTTTAAAGTGAAAAAGAGTCATTTTTCATTGACGCGCCTATACTGGCATGCGAGCAGTTCCCGTACAAAAATCATAGTTACTTAAACATTATTTTTTATTACGCTCACTCACCAAAATTTGAATGTTACACATCAATATTCGGCTCGTCACACAAATCGTGGAAATTCCATTATGTTCTAAACATAGAATAACCCTTACTTATGAGGCCTCATATGGGGTACAGAAATTATCAATTATTTTGTATGAAGAGAAGTAGTTCCCGTACATAAAATCTAATCCATTATAATTATACAATTTTATTATATCGGACCTATTTTTCATTTACAATTGTTCAACAGACCATTATCTAAGAGAAAAATAGATGTAATTCAGGAAATAGAGCGTAGACTAAACGCGGGTATCTATTACCCGGTACCGTTACCCCAACGCATTCACAAGCAATAGCATGCTTGTATGCATGATATTTTACGCATCAAAGCCATAAAAATATTATATATAGTAATATTGGTCAACATTCTGATAATTAAACAAGTTTTCATCACATTGCCTACTTATTTGTAAACAGGTGGTATTAGTGGAAAACCCTTTAACAAGCCTCACGTGTAAGTATTTTTGCGCATGCGCGCAAGGACGGAATCCCCCAGAGAAAACAAGGTCACGTTTTGACGACGCACAGGTGAAAGTGATTTAAAATGAGACTTTATATACGTACTGCTGAACTGACACTTAGATTTTGTCTCGTTTATGTATCTGCTTGATTTGAAATGAATTTTTAAAGAATGCAAGTAAAAATCAAGCGTTTAAATGAAAAATACGGGTACTGCTTCTGTACGGGAACTGCTCGCATGCCAGTACAGTATAACGCTTACATTTACACTATGTTTGTATAACGCAAATGACGTCACGTCAAAATATATGCACGGCCATGCTATACCATTTATACGGAGTCGCAAATTCGGCACGGGTATGTGATAAAAAGCGATTTTTAAGTCACCTTCAAGTATATATTTAACAAAAAACTTGGAAAACTTACCCAAATACAGTTTTCTTTAAAACGTCTTATTAGTCGTTGAGAAAAAGCGTCAATAAAAAGATGTCCAACTGGCGTAAGATTATATATCAGTCCTTTCGTATTTAAATGGTCACATTTAAATCACACCGTATTACCGACACAAGTAATAACATATTATTAATGTAAAAAGACAAAACCAATACATTTCCAGAAAATAATTTACAAAAGCGGTATGATTCAATACTTTCATCAATTAAGGTACCGATAAAAGCATCGTATCTGTAGTATTTTCAGAACTAATTTACAAGGTGTTTTTTTTTCTATAGTTCCTTTATTTCTACATTATTTTTTCGCAGAAGACTATGACAATGTGAAGAATTTCATAGATGACAGGTTGCAGAGCCATGAGCAGAGTTATTCTTGCTAGGAAACGTAGACTTGTGTACATAATTATAGAAATGCAGAATAACGGGAATAATTATTTGAATAAGGTGAAAAATGTCCTATTCGAACTACTTAGATACTCTTATCTCTTTTTGTGTCAATCATACTTAATTGTATCGCAGATTTTTGTCAGATAAACCAGTTTACTCAAATAAGGTCAAATTGTCACTAATCAGTTTTCACAACACGTTGTCTCCTTCCGGAAACGAGAAGGTACTCTCTTTTTAAACTATCGATATGATGTTCCTGTTTTGTTTTTAGCAATTTTAGTGATTTCATTTATAGATTTTCAGTCAATCAGCAGTAAGACATTATTTAAATCCACCACATTTAGTTGAATTATCAGTTTCAATACCGCATACATTAAGAACAAAAGAACAATTTTCATTTCGATACAAATAGAATTGGTGATGTTTTTGTTTTTATTGTTGTTTTTTTTTTCTTCTCTAGAATGATTGGTTTTGTATTACCACTGCTCTTCGTGCTCTTCTGGTCTTGTAAGGCAGCAACATATGATGGAAAACTTCGCAACGCTTCAGACGGAACTATGGAGGCGTACATGATACCTCATTTTAAATCAAGCCACGCCTCCTTCATTGAACCGTCTCCTAATGGTGATTTGGTCATGGCATGGTTTAGCGGTAGTGCTGAAGGGGAAAGTGATGTAAGTCAATATCCAATCAAATCTAGAAATTACTGAAAATGAGCTACACATCAACCATGATGTTCAAATTGCATGCTTTTGAAAAAGAAAGATAAAACACCAAAAGTGTATACAGAATTATCTAAAATTGCTCCAACAATTTGTTTTTGGAGTTATAATAACCCCTATTCAGATCTTGGTTACTGCATGATACGTAATATTCAAATTAAGATAAGCTTTCAATTTAAACTTTACTAATTCGAGGGATAACACGTTATACAAGGGAGTAATAACATGTTACAAAAACATAACTTGATTAGAATGTTTTAATGGTTTTTATACAATCAAAGATATCAATCATTTTTTTATACAATCAAAGATATCAATCATTATATACATGTACATGTATTTCTATCTGAAGGTTGCGATTGTTGTAAGCCGCTTGCCAAATGGGACCGACCAGTGGACCAGTCCAATTGTTGTTTCACAAAGGAAGGGATACTCTAATCAAAATCCAGTTTTGTTCTTTGACAACCAAACAAATATTTTGTACCTCTTCCATACCCAGCAAGATGCAAAGAAAGTCGGTGATACTGGACTAAATGGAGAAGGTTATACATGCATTTCCGTCTTTAAGCTGTACAATTCCGAAGATATCGTCGGTTTAGGTTTTTTTTTGTACCTACCAACTAATTTCTTAGAGAGAGTGGTCGTCAGAACCGTTTGTGGAACATTTGTTTAATTATTCGTGAATTTCAGCTTCTAAGTTTAGGGCATTGGCTGATGCAGCCTATATTGGATATTGGTTCTTCTCAGTAACAGCTGACTTGAACCAGACAAAGTACGGCACGAAATACTAGGGCGATGCTCTGTACACATGGTAACGTGGTACTCGTGTATTATAAGGTTTTGAATTCAATCTTCAATTAATACTTTTGATATATTGTACATCGTTCACCGGAGGGCATGGGCATAACATTAATGTATATTGTGTTCTTCATTCTCGTTTTCATAAGATTCGGCAACCATCTGGGAGCTACAATCTACAAATAATGGCATGAATTGGACATCTCCTAAAATCATGTTTGCAAAAGCAGGGTCATTTGACCGGAACCGTATAGTTATATCCCTGAAAAACACCTGGCTGTACCCTATATATTATGCTGGTGGATCCCGGAAAGACACGTCATACATAAAAGTAGGTCATTAAATTTCTGATAGAACTATACATGTATGTCTTATTATAATAGCATTTTTTACTCACAGAAAGTCACATTTTTGTGTTTCTCATTAAAAATAACACTATATATCATTATAACGTTTTACATGTATATCAAATTGTTATGATCAATCAATCAATCAATTTAATTAAGTATTAGTGTACATAGCATCTGTAAGATCATTAAATAATTTGTCTTCTCCTTCATTTTTATTCTCCAGTTTAATTCAGCTTTTTAAAAGAAAATTGTTCTCGTATTATATCCCATTGCTCTTTGGTAAAGTTATAACTTCAAAGACGTCATTTCAGGAAAGTGTCTCGCATAAACCATTCGACACGTGGTTAGAACATTCTTTCACCGACTCTGACCATCTTGTACAGCCTACCGTCGTGCGTCCAGTGAAAAGTATATTTATGTCAGCCTTTTATTACATAAAATCAAATTACAACAAAATAATACATTAATTGCAGGCTCAATTTGATTAAGTCTGTTCTTATACGGTAGTGATAATGAGCAAGCTACCGCCCATGCCCCTTAGCACCGGCTGAAGTAGAATTCAACATTTTAGTGTAAAATTTTGAATTTAGAAATATCGTAGATGCACTCATTTTGCAGTTGATGCGACAGATTCATCCCGTTTCATGTAAATTTGCCAATAATTAAAATGAATGGTGCAGACCCGTTTTTATCGAACTTTTATTGGGTGGCGGTTGGAAGCTACCGTCCATGCCTTATAGCTATAGCGCTGGCTTAAGTAGAATCCACTATGATACAATAAAAATAAGCAGATTGGCTTAGACATGATATAGCATACACTTTGTAGCCTATCAGTTTTCAATTACTTTCACTTAAGTAACATAAGGGTTCCAAATAACAAATATAATAATAATAATGTAACATTTTATAAATTAAATATCAATTTACAAAATGTTTAACTATTTTACACACGTTTATAGGTGTGAGCGTCTAAAAACCAAAGATCTTTAATAAATGTTTTTAAACATCTCAATTCAAACAGATTCAACAAGGCTTGTATCGTTTTTCCGTGACAGACGTGCCGAGCATATTTATCGTGCAGTCAGTCTGACAGACGGGGTCACGTGGACAAAACCGTCTAAAACAACATTACCGAACAATAACAGCGGGATAGAGGCAACCACTCTACAGTCAGGCCACATTGCTATTGTTTACAACCCTACAAATAAAGAGAGGTACAGAATGTATATACTTTATAAAATAATATACACCATTTCATTAACTCTTCAACATTTCTTTAATTTCAGTTGATCTTTTATCCTATAAATCTTTTCAGGTTTTCATAAAACAGTACTATAACACAATGTTTATATGTAAAATTAAATTTACATGTGCAAGTAAACAAAACTTCTGGAAAAGGGAAGCTCTATTGAGAATCAAAGGGCTGCAAGCTCTGTGGTATTTTCTGATCTTTGCAATCTAAATCATACTGACTATCTGTATGTATTTTCCTATATAGGTTTATTTTTATATACTATAATTCATCTTACGCAGCGACTGCGTTAAGATTTTTTTCTATAACAGTTTGAGATTGATACATATGGAATTTTGCATGACTAGAGTTGCATCAAAAATCATTTTTTTATGACAGCCACACTTTATCCTTGCATATCGTGGCTACTTCCTTAAAAAAGACACTTTAAAAAAAAGTTGCCTCGACTAGGATTTGAACCTTAAGCCTCTCACACCCTAAACAAGCGCGATACGAGCGCGATACTCCTGCACCACGGTGAAGTAATACGTAATATGTAGCCTGAATAAAAACAAATACATTGTAATTCTAAATTGAGAATTTCCATTTCGTGTTTGTAATCCTTATCAATTTCGAGGTATTTCGTTCACGATAAACCTGTTTAACACTGATAAAAATAATTTAGCGAAAATCTTCTCGCCAAAACAGTCCGACATGTATATATTCCACTACTCGGCAGTCAGATTTATTTGTATACTACGCCCTGGAGTATTCAGTAATCGACATAGCTAAAAACAGGCCTCGACACTAACTTTTTTATCAGGTGGTAAGCCGGACCACTAGATTTGAAATTAAGGTGGTCCTTCCAGAAGTCAAGTGGTCAATTATTATTATTATATCAGTTTACTGTAAGTTTAGAAAAAAGTATGCTTAAAATTGATGACAAAGATGTATTTTTAACCTTTAAAGAAAACAGACATTTTAGATATATATTTTTATCTGAGAGCAAGTTAGTAGGTATTCTGTCGTGAAGTTATTTGTTGTTTTTTTTCATAGCTCATTCAAAAATACACAACAGGGCTCTTATTTGTGTTAACTTATATATTGAAGTGATTTCTGTCTCAACTCAAGTTAGGGAATAGTGAAACCATTTGTGTCTGGGTTTTTTTCTTACTGTTATTCAAATATACATTGCTGATACGTGGTACGTCTTATAATCATGATAATTACATGTATCTTTTATAGATTAACATTTTAATAAAAACTAATAAATTATCTTAAAACAAGGAAATATCTAAAGGATAAAAAATAAAAACAACTTTATATATAACTATAGTTTAGCTTATTTTTCTCACAGATTTATTATGAATACAGAATTTTTACCGCCCCGTTGCTTGTTGGTTGATTTATTTTTTACATTGAGTATTTTTAACCTTTTATTAAAAATTTAAAAAAGGTAATTTTAACTCTGGAAGAAACGGATCTCTTAGCGTTAAAAAGTTAAAATAAAGATAACTAGCAAATAACTTGATGTATTTCTCAAGTTCCTTTAGTTTGCTGCCATTATTCATGTATATGAAATTGAAAGTTCATACGGTATCCCATACAATATCATAATTACCATCGTCGGATACCCACGTGTGATTAACATGTAACATAACATAAATGTTAAAGGTTCCACCGTGGTAATCCGACGATGCATCACTACTAGCATCATTTGAATGCAATTTGTACCTAGCTTAATATCACAAATTCTAAACTCTTTTAACTTGCATAGACACAATTTTAGCGACTTAAAATGAAAGTTATTGATGATTTAAGACCTTCTTTAACTTATCAGATTGATCTATTAATGAACCATATACATGTTCATAGGACAAGTGGTTTTAAACAAAATATATATAACATGTTTTTGACCAAATCGCCATTCTCCCAAATGAGCCTTGCACAAACCAGAAAATTCAAGTGGTCCGACGGACCAGTGCATTTTAAAATTAGGTGGTCCTTGCCAAAATCAGGTGGTCTCGGACCAACGGACCACCGCTAATGTCGAGGCCTGAAAAATAGCATTTTCATTGATTAAAATGATATTCATCCGTGAAATTTGTGATTGTAACCTCATATTTCTATTGACTAATCTGAACTTTCAATGCACTGTAATTCGTTAAATGCCTACATTAAAAATTATTCTGTCTTTTAAATTGCTGGTTTTTAAGCAGTTTTGAGTAAGAACTACTTTGCGTTGTTAGGTCTGTTAGGAAAAGGTGTTAGACCGTGAGTGTTAGCTATGTATTTACTGATCTTGCGATCAGAAAATACAACAATAAAAATAGATATCTCCATCTCAGCACCGGCCGAAGTGTAACTGACATCAAAATATGAAAAGCTGTACCATTAAATGTACATTATGTTTACAAAACGTTGTTTACTTATATATTACTTGTATAGGAATCCGATCGTGATATCAGTCTCAATGGATGAAGGACTAACCTGGGCACACACGAGACCCCTAGATCACGAAACCGGCTTTAATGGTATAGAGCTCAGTTATCCCACTGTATTTCAAGATTCACAAGGGAGAATTCACATCTCATATACATATAACAGGGAAACAATTAAACACAAAATTCTTCCGAACGAAGCTTGGATTTCTCAAAGACATGATTAAAATCATTAAACGATGTCATATGTGTCTGTTAGATTTCATTCAAATAGAAGATTAAACATGTTAATATATCTCCGTCGTCCTTTTTATCAACACCCTCAGATAAAACCTGTTTCTCGATGTTGCGAAAACTTGTGAGTCAATACTTTTTCCAAACATTTTATAACTTTATGTATGTCTGTATTTTAACTGTCATTAAATGCCATCCCATGTACATATTAATTTTGGGCAATAAAATGTGTTTTAATCTTGAAGCACCCCAACCAATCAACCATACGCGAACACATACATTGTCTAGGTGTGGCTGACTTAAATGTCCATTAGATATGCTTTCAATACTTCAAAATTATTGTACATTTTTTTAACTTATTGCATACATCACTTTTAAAAATATTAACTTATTTACTTTCATTTGTTTTGTTTTTCTTGTTTGTATAATACATCGTCTGTTAAGAACATACATGAAAAGCAACAACAAAAACAGAAGAAGAAAAATCGGCGACTGTCTGTCCACAGGGAACGAATTGTTCAATGTCACATATGTTACCCTAGCACCGACTCATTCTATATTCAATCCTCGCTGCACACTGAAATGAATGATATAAAATGATAAAAGTTACAACATTTAGAAACATATAGGTAAAGTATAAGGAAACATTTTGCAGCTGCCTCTAACACTTGACAACTTTAGTAAAAATGCTTATTTATCATATTTTGGCAAATACATGCTCTAGTTGTAGTCCAAATAAATAAAAATGATAAAAATATAAAAAAAAAAGATTATAACATCAACAACAATCGTATTCATGGTATTTATCTAGCATTTATGAGAGTATTGTAATATTTTTCTTCTTTCTCTTATTATTAACTTTGCTGTGCATAGTCTCAATTCGATTTTTTCTGATAAATATCTATTAACATAGATATTTATCGGTTTTATATTTCATTTTTATTGGTACTAATTGTCTCTTATTTTGTATCGGTTCAAACTAAATTTTTGAACTGATTATGATATTATGAATAATTGATTGTACTTAATTGACTGGTAATTTAATGCTTAGCTTCGGGGAGTGCTGGGATGGGAATCCATCGGAAACAAGTCCTTTTGTTTTAGATATCTGAAGCTGAAATGTGGTCGCTGTTTTTATGCAAAAGAGCGGCGAAGCTTCTGGATTAGATAACCTTCCAAGGTGGATGCAAATGTACATTGTTTTGGTGATTTTGTGAATTTACATTAATGTTTAACGCTATTTTGACAACCAATGAAATTGTTGCAGAAAGTGTACAACTTCAACAAGAGGCATTTGGTCAACCAAAATGGTTCCTTTCTTTCGCATTTCAGTATTGTGGAATATTGACACAAAACATTTTTACAAAAGTTTTGTAAATACCGTTTATAGACACGAAAGATCGGACATAAAACAGCGCTTACGTGAAATGATAGACCACTTGAAAATATTGTCGCTACAAAGCACTTAATCCTAATTGCTGTAGGTGTCTGGATATGGACCGTGTCTATCTTTTCGGTCATCGTAAGTGGATTGTTTCAACATAGCACGATTGCCTTACTTGATAAATTTATTATGAGAATGATTTAAAGTCTCAAAGGAACTAGCATTAATATGGGTACATTAATTTAATTATTGTCGAGGGTTAAATACTTAGTTAATTGCATGTTATGAAGTGTAGAGATATTATTCGTTTGAGAGGTTTGGTAGTTTCGTAATTATTTACATTTCAGTGATTGAAGACATATAAAGTTTCCGATAACTCTATAAAGAGCAAAAAATATGTACTGGAATGTGAGTAGTTCCCGAACAAAAATCGTAGTTACTTAAAATCTATATTTCAATACGCTCACTCCACGCCTGGTAAACGATAGAGTTACCTCTTTTGGAGGTATACAGTAAATCGCTTTATCGTTACTTTCGAGCTAGTGCATGCCGCTAAATCAGGTGTCAACAAAGGTATAGGGTTGTTATTTTTTATATATTTGAAAACTGCACCAAATATCGAAAATCGAAGAATGCTATACCATATAGATTTGAATGAAGTTTCCAAAGAATGTAAAGTTGATGAATTTGAGTTTGAAGTAAGTTGTAGCGGCGTTTACCAGTTAGCGAATTTAGCGTTGCAATGGACCGATTCATCATGAAACTGATTATTTTTCACACACTTTTCATCTAAACAGCGATCCAGATTAAAAGCGAATACGTTTCCACTAGATATAAGGTCTAGAAGTCAAATAAAATTTAAGTGAGAACAAAACATCAACTCTGTCATGAAGGAGGTACATGCCGCCAAGGAGATAGCTCTATGGTTTCAAAGGGGACCAAAATGATATGGGCAAAGAATGTAAAAAGTCTTGGGTGTAAAAGATCTTTTGGATGTTGGTACAAATATCCAAGCACACGCTGCACCCGATATTATTGCATCTTTCTGAATTTCAATGTAACTGATTCAAATCTTTAATCTATTGATTGTAAAACTGTATACTCAGCATGACCGTAACTATGTAGGTAAAATTACGAAAGTACAAACTTCATGGCGAGACGATTAACCATGTGTAACATTGTTATTGTTGTTTCTGAGTTAAATAATTACCATTTTTTATTATGACCCCCTTCGAAGAAGAGGGGGTATATTGTTTTGCTAATGTCTAATGTTACTATTTTCACAATGTCTTCATATTTTACATATTGATCGGTCATACCTAATAGATGACCCCAATTAATTTTGGGGTCACCAGGTCAAAGGTCAAGGTCACAGGGTCTTTGAATGTTATTATTATTTCAGCTCATCTTGAAAGATAATTATCACAAAGTCTTCATATTTCAAATAGTGATTGGTCATAACAAATGATCTGTATTGTAAGGGTTCACTAGATCACAGGTCAAGGTCACATGTGCCTTAAATGTCAGAATTGTTTCCGCTTATTATCTTTAAACTATTTATCACAAAGTCTTCATATTTCACATACTGATTGGTTATAACTAGAAAGTGGCCCCTATTGATTTTGTGGTCTCTAGGTCAAAGGGCACAGGGTTCTTAATTGTTAGTATGGGTTCTGCTCATTAAAAGCTATTTATCACAAAGTCTTCATATTTCTAATATTGATTGTTCATAACTTTTAGATGACTGCTATTGATTTTGGGTCACTAGTTCAAAGGTCTATGTCACAGGGGCCATAAATGTCTCATTATCTTAAAAACTATTTATCACAAAGTCTTCATTATTTTTCTTTTTTCCATAACTGAACACTGCCATGTACCCATTTATGGCAAGTTTCTATAAAAAGATACCAATAATGTGAGTCAATGGCTATAAAGGGGGGGGGGCATATGTGTCGTTCGACATTTCTTGTTAATTTTATACAGACGTGAAAATTCAAGAATACAAAGTTATAATTTTATTTACATGTTTATTGTAAACAAAAATATTTTTAAAAAAAGCAGAAAGGTAATGAAGTCTTGTTTTGGCAGTTAAAAGACTTCAAACGGCTTTGTAAGGCCTATTTACTTCAGCTGCTGTAGAAATTTAGATATAACTTGTAACAACAAAGATATTGTGGCAATCTTTATTTAAATATACGTATATCGACCGCATCTTCTCGGCCCTTTCCGTCAAACTTCGGATAAGGACCTATGATTACACAGACCGGGTATTACCTACCATGTAAACAAAAGTAAGTAAATGTTGGGAGTTTTTGACTTTAAAAGTCAACATAAATTAAATACAATAATAGATTTAAAAGCAAACAGTCCATTATTTATATACAGGTACTTATTACTTGGTTGTAGCAACCGAAAGTACAAAATATACATTATCGGTATTTAGTCCGAATTTATTATAAATATTCGATTGCAATATATTCCAGATAGCATACTAACCTTACTTCATAAATTTTATGACTAGAATTAAATTCACAGGGGAATGATTTTAGAAACTGGTATTGACTTGGAGATCATTAATTTAATCACTGCCATATATCAGTCACTTAGATAATTGTATTAGATAGTGTTGACAGAATATTTGTCTGACTTAGAATTGTGGCATTTGCATAGTTATTTCCATTTCTGTATATATAGACAGATAGATTTCCTAGCATTGTACAAACTATTAACGAAGAGAACTATTGAATAAATTTCGTTTCAACACCTTAATACGAATACAACTGAAAATGAGTGTGTTTCTTATGATACTCTTGATTGTGAAACTGTCGAATTCATTAGACCAACAGATATGGACAACTGCCGAACAATCGCAGGAAACAATAACTCGCAGTTTGTTTGATGATGACACTACCAGTTACACCCCGGAAAACTATAAAGATTATGGCGAAAATAAGGAACCTGGAGAATATGGATATAGTTATTATGGAGAATATGGTTATAATTATTACTACGGGTACCCTTACACAGACACGAATAACGAAAAACTGTCGTTTGATGTTATTGACAGTTACCTCGACATGAATGAAACCCAAGAGTTCCTCTTAAGTTTCCAGAACACTTTACAGCGTGAAACCATAAGGAAACAATTAAGATATTGTCCGTATGTAAGTTTATGTAGCTTTTCTTTCGGTCTTGTCAACCAGCAATACAAACAGTCTTGTTGCGCACCTTGCAGCTGTGATATTACTACTTGCTTGAGGTACCAGACGTGTTGTCCAGATATTCTTGATTCTACGATGTTTCATTTGAATTCAACAAATGGACATGTAAATTACACGGCAAACGACGACATGAGCCAAGATAAACCTGTTAGTTGTACATTGCTCCACGCAAAGAGGAATATTTTATTTCATCAGATTAGTATGTACCTATACGTAAATTGTCCTCCTAAAGCAATCTCCAGCTTAGTATATATGTGTACTCGCCAGTACACTAAAGAAACTGCATTTGTAGAAGATATGATACCCGTAACAACTCCCGGTAACCTGATCGCCTACCGAAATAAATACTGTGCATTCTGTAATGGAGTATCCGGTGATAATATCACATTTTGGAATCTTTATCTTTCGTGCAATAACATCAGCAAGACAGAAATATCAACATTTACAAACCCTGAAAAGCTACTTATAAACTTCATTATGTCTTCTAAAAAATGTGACCTCGGTTTTTTACCAAACAACACAGACAATCTAATCAATGATTGTGAAAGTGCAATAAATGTGTGTAATGAAACAGGCTTGTGGACACATTATGAAGCTGAATTAGAATTAAGCTGTTCTCTTTATACATCAAATATTAAAGCATATTCGATGGTATTCAAGAACGTATTTTGTCTTCTGTGTAATGGTTTCGAGGCAAAGCTACCAGCGAAAATATGTGGTGACAAAACACCTGGATTTGGTTCAAGCTTTTCGTTTACCGGTCTCATCAAAAGAGTATCACCAACTGGTCAATCCAAGGAGGGGCATGTTACAGCAACGTGTAACGAGTCATCAATACTGGATACAACAACAGTAAGTTGGTATATTATTTCCTGTACATGTTTGCAACTAAACGTTTAAAATACAACGATAATAAAATATAAAGGGGCGGTATTCTTTTGGTAAGGGTACCTGCCTTTCAACCCTGGGGTCGAGAGTTGGAGCCCTTCTTGTGTTTAACGTATAACTACCGCGAATGTTCCAAGTACAGGAAGTGTATATGCAAAGATATTTTTGTCAAATTCATTCAATCTTTGGAGAAATGTGTCTTAACTAAATTATAATGAATGTGAAAATGGAATCCACAGGCTTAGTCATTGACTATTGCAAGTGATTCAAATCAGCAGATAAGTGTTACGCATATTCTTCGGACAATGACAGATGTTCTTTAAGTATATGTCAAACTTTCATGAAAACTGAAACATTTCCTGAACTTATACTGTCCGCAATATGTAATCAGTAATGTTCGCGTTTATGTCGTCTTCAGTGTTTTTGTTGAATGTTACATTAGGCGATGCTAGGGGTCTGTATGGTATATTGCATTTACCGCTAGCGTTCATTAAAGGTATAAACTATTGTTCGCTTTTCATGATATGTAGAAGTGAGCACAATAACGATTTAATTCAAATAGTTAGCTTACTCCTAATTAGACTTTTTCAGGAAGTAGAACATTTCATCATAAAAGTATTATTTTGACTAAGTGTGTGCAGAAATATGAAATTAATGTGTAACATGTTTATTTTCATAATATCAAACATACGTGTACTTTTAAAAAAGAGTCATTTTGTTTTCATAAAAATACGTGTACAATTCCGAGCAATTCAGCCAATTATATTATTGAATTGTTATTTTACCCTTCATTTTTTTTTCATTTTATACGTTTTATATTTCAGGGAAAATGTCTGCCATTTTTCTGCAATGAGCTATACAGCCTCCAACATGGAAAATGTGTAGAGATGTTCGATTCCGTTATAGGCGTCACTTACAATTTATATCTCCGAATTGTCCCTCTTTCAGCTGTTACTGTTTCTGAAGCTTATTCAATGACTGAAGACATTCTCGACAATATGAGCACGGATGTTTTTGGCAAGTCTATTCCTAAATCTATAACAACTACTGCATGTGGTGTTCATGTTCTATATAGAGCAAACGTTTCTTTCAAAGCTGATAACATTTCTGCGATTACTGGGGAGAGTGATTTACTGAGTATAGATGCACGTTTCAAATTGACGGTAGGTCAGAATGATCCGTACGAGACTGCAAACATTCTGAATTCTATTGACATGTATAATATTTCTTCTAGACACGGTTCGAGAAAGATTCTTTTCAAAATTATTGTACAAGATGATAGTTTAAATTTTGCATACGATATCGTAAGCATGTTGTCAGAGTTAAGCTTTGGACAATCCTTTACACCATTACATTTCCTTATTCGTCATGCTGCAAGGGGCATTGATGGATTTGCTATAATTCCTTATATACGATACAGTACAAACTTCTGTACAAACTCTAGAGAGTTAAATGCCGCGGCAATTCGTAAATGTACCATGGTGAAACTTGCAATCAAAGGAACATCTACCAGACAAGAAAATAATACAAACATATTTATGTATAAAAACTTTCCTTTCCTTCAAACAGAGTTTAATTTTGATAGTAATACAACAATCAGAGTCTGCGTCGAGGCTTTTCTTCGTTTTCTAAAACAAAATCGTAATGGACTGGCCAATATAGATTCAGCAGACGACACTTTGGAACTTTTATCTATTTTATGCATCTCTATTTCTATCGCCTGTCTCTCTATTACACTGTTCACGTTTATGTTGTTTCCAACGTTACGAACATTTCCGGGTATGAATACTGTCTCTCTTTCTTTGTTTTTATTGTTGGCCCAGTCATTATATCTTATAGGAAGCTTTGGTGGAATCGAAATTGAGACGGTCTGGTGTAAAGTACTGGGTATGTTAATTCATTTCTTTTGGCTAACAGCTATGTTTTGGATGAACATTTGCACGTTTCACATGTTTCAAGTACTGACTCATACACGAGCCAGATCTGCTAAGAGGTGGAACACATTCGTCGTGTATCACATATATGCGTTTGCATTATCAAGTGCTTGTGTTGGTGTCAACGTCGGAGTTTCGTGGTATTTTACCGAAAGCATTGGCTACGGACAAAACATATGTTACATTTCAACAGAATTAATGAAAACGTACACATTTGGTCTCCCTGTCTTACTGGTTGTTCTTGCAAATGTAGCCATGTTTTCTGCTGTTATAATATCAGTTAAACGAAAGTCATCTATTCATCAAACATCTTCAGTCGAGCGCAATGACTTTCTGATCTTCATTAAATTGTCCTCACTGACTGGCTTCACCTGGCTATTTGGATTCATATTTTACTGGACAGAATTATCGGTCTTTTCCTACATCTTTACTCTTCTTAACAGCTCCCAAGGTGTATTCCTGATGCTTTCATTTGTTATCAATAGAAGAATTTTTGATTTATATAAAATCAGTTTTCACAATTTCGGAAAGCCACATCTTAGTGTATCAGGAACTAAAACATATAAGGTTAGAACTCATGGAGATGACAGTAGATCATCTGCAGACAATTGCAATCTTACACGGCAGAATAGACCGACCGGAAGCTCTGGTACCAGTCAGACATCCTCTCTATAATCAACAATGTTGGTACAAGCAGAAAAAAATGGTATGAAGGAGATATCAGAAGATAAACATCTATTAGTATTCTTTGAAATAGTGGAATTTCTTCAACGGATCAATTATTGTTTGTCAAAAATAAAAGTTCAGATAGTATACACTTTAAAACTTGAATGATGAGATTGCTAAATCCAGATGGCAAAAAAGTCTAGGAAAGGGTGATCGCCTGGAAGCAGTGAAACAAGCTGTTTAAGTTTTTGCATACTTGTTTAGAACTGTATGAACTATATCTACATAATTATTATTGAAGATATAGCAACGTCATAAATATATATTACAAATCTGACCGGTTTTCTGAACACACTCTTTCTATTGTATCAAAATTGAGAAAAACTTGTTTAAAAAGAAATAACTTTTTTTAAAACATGCTTTTCTTTGCTTTTTGCTTGATAATATTTCAAACATATGGTTCATTTTTACCACTTCCATTAGTTGAAATAAAGAAATACCGGAAGCATTAAAAACAGCAAAATTACATGAAAATTGCAGACTCGGTTTGATTGGGTCTGTAAAAGAGGGATAATGAATAAGTGCAACATCAATCATGTCCCCTAGCGCCGGGTTGAGCGGTACTCAATTCTCAACACTTAAAAGTGCTGGACTCAATGATCTTGAAGGACCAGAAAAATATATGTTTGTTAAATACATGTTTGTTGTTTTTGTTGTTCTACCGACATAACTGACACAAAATTTTAACTAAAATCGCCAATTTTCATTTTCGAACAAAATGGTATTTTTTTGTATTTTTGTTAAGGATATAATAAAGTTTAATACTGCTAAATTTAAAATGACTTTTGAAAGTTTTAAAGCATTGACAATTATATATCTAATACCTTAAAAAACAGGACAAGATTGAAAATGTAGCAGACTCGGTTTGATTGGGTATGTTCATGAACGGGAATGGTAAATGCGAGGCAAGGCCCATCGCACCGAATTATGCAGAACACTCCAACATAGAAGTGAATAGAAGTTTTAATCAATCAAATACTATTGAAGCCAATTTCTGATAAAGATGATATTTGAATTAGATTTCAGGTTTACAAACTTGCTGATGATCACTTGTTTTTCTGAAAAGTATGTGGTGTTTGAACCTGAAAGCCAATGGAGACCACTTCCAACATTCCATGTACCTACTGTTGTAATGACGTCATAACCGTTCAACACGAACTTATTTAGAAATATGGATATAACATTACAAGCAGCATATGCCTCGAGATTCATGCTATTTTTTTCATGAAAGTTTGAATATGTACTTGAAAGTAAAATATTGTGAAGTGAATAAAGAAAGTAATTTACACATTGCAAACGGCATGTATAATCCACGTAAATTACCAAAAACAGGTCATATCATTTTTTTAAAAAATCAAAACAACAGCGCTTACTGCGTTAAGCATGCCATTGAAATCTGGTGATATATACTGCAAAATCGTTCATTATACAAAAATAGCTATTGCATCTTGAATCGTTTTTCTTTTCTTACGTTAAAATCTTGTAATAATTTGGCTCTTCTGGAGGCATGCACCTTTAATACCATATTGTTTATAGCAAATATTTTACATTCGTTTGTTAAAGAGATTGTAAAGTTACTTAATTGTTGTATGTTCTGTTTAATATGCTAATTGATGTATTCTCGTTGTAAACGTCTTCAGTTATGAATGTTAAATGTATATTATTTATGTGATATTTATTTAGATGCCTCACTGTATATTTTCGTTAATGTTTTGCTTCGTTAATAAAGAATAAGAAAATATAATGGGTTAAATTTCAATTAAACTCGTCATGAATTTAATAATACAGTATGCTCATTAAATATTATCAAAATCTAAATAGTTATGCATTTTAGTTACGGTAATGGCACAAGGGCATTTTGATGAAAGAAATATAACCATTTTGAGCCATTTAAATTAAAAGTAAGTTAATTAGTCAGCAATTTTAATGGCGATTTTTTTTTTCAACTATGACACTTTATGTGAATTTAAGATATGCACTTAAGTTTTCTTTGGAAATAATGATGCCTTAGATTTGTTTTTAACGAAATAAAAAATTCCAATTACTTCAAATCAATTTTTATTGAATTATTAGCCCTTTTTCAAGAAAACTTTTAAGAGCCAAATATTGAAGTGCTTTGTTAAAAAAAAGATATCAAAATTGGCATTAATGTGTAATGATGTGGGTATAGTGAATTCTAAACGCCACCATAATCCGCATGTTTCAATATGGACAGTTTGTGTTTACAGGCATATCTTAGTATAGAACAGGAACTCCGCTGATGCCCGATGGCAAATTTACATGCATCTCGACAAAAATGTACCTTAATTAATTGTTGTAAATGGCTCAAATAATTACTATTCTATCAAATGAAAAAAAAGCAACACAATACATTCTATTTTTCTAGGAAACAAATTAACATATAAGTAACAGAATGAACATTATGACTTGATTACATTTGGATAAAGAACAGAATAAAATCAACGTCGTTATCAGTTGATTGAAGTAAAAATCAAACTTGACCTTTGTGTTTATATTACATACTAATTAATGCAAAATATAAACATAGTCAGTGTTAAAATGTATTCCTTTTAAAGTTATTTTGTGGAAAAAATAATTTCACAGGAAATTTGGCTGGGTCAGGTTTCTGTCGACTTACACTTGCGGTGACTTCGAGATTACATATCTTTTTATAACTTGAAATGATTCTAATGACAGCTTTATTTCCTTTAATAGTAATCAATTCCCTACCATTTGGTACCAAGATTTTAAAAATTTGTGAACAAATGTTGGAGTTATGGAGTTTATATTAAGATGAGTGCTGAGTGGGAAATGAAGGAAATTGAATTAAAAGCATATACCAAATATCAAAACATGTTTTAAATAAAAAAAACTGCAGTTTAGATGGTTTTGAGAGGTAGGAGGGTTGTAAAGTGGGTGAGGAGGCCCGGGGTTAGTGACAATTTAACGCGCCGAACACCTATGATAATATAGAGGAGAGTCAGGAGGGTAGAATCACATTTCGATTTAAAAAAAAAGAATTTTATAAAACTGTTTAAAAAGTTGAAAACTTAGCCTGCGATTGACCTTATTTCACAGTCACATCTGGTGTTATGCTTCACATCTGAAGCAGCGGAAATTCACATATACTTTGTACCGATGCTCATTTTTGAGATACAAATGGGGTTTCATCCCCGTGAATAAGTAACGCGCATTTGCGACAGGATTTTCTAACGCGGTAAGTAACTTGCCACTATATATTTTATTCAACCAAACTGAAAAAGGGAATAGACGCATACGGCTGCGAGAACATTATTCTTTATCCCTTATCTAGATTGTTTCCACGAAATTGCTTACCTTTCAAGATCATTCGTGAAAATGATGGCTTGACCACCGTTTTGAACGAGATTTAGGCTTTTTGTCGGCTCTAATAAGTACAACAATGCAAACTCGATTTTCGGTAGGCAAATGACATTTACTAAACTTCTGGTGACATAGAAAATTGAAAATAAGCTGATAAAATGTGATTCAAGCCGTTTTTATAGGTGTACGTGAACGCCGGAAAATGCGATTTTTTTATTTGTTTGGGTCGTCAGACCAAACAAATAATGGTAGCGAAATTTCAGAGTCTAATGTTGTTAATTGCAAATGCCGAAAGTAGTCCACTTTTTTGAAGCGGTTACTTCCCTTTTGTATGTACAGTAACGCCGAAAAATTCAGGGGAGATCACTGCGTAAAGATGGTCAAAGACAGGCGCATTAATTTTTAAGCAAAGTAATTCCCGAATGGTCGAATATTTCTAATATTGTTTTATTGTATTTTCTGATCGAAAATAAGTAAATACCAAGCGGACATTCAATCTCTGACACAGAAGTTTACGACAAACCTAACAACAAGTAGTTCTCAAAACAGCTTAAAACTAGCGATTTAATAGAAAGAAATATTTTATTTTGTTACAAGTATGCAACAAATTACAACGCATTCAAAGTTAAACAATAGCGTTGGCTTATAGAATTGTCAATAAATGCACAATCACAAATTACGCGGATGAATATGATTTTATCAATGAAAATACTATTTTCAGCGATGTCCATTACCGAATACTACACAAACCGAGTAGTGGAATATATAGATTCTACATGTCGGACTGTTTGGGCGAGAAGATTTTCGCTAAAATATTTACTTCAATTTTAAACAACAGGTTTATCCTGAACAAAATACCTCGAAATTAATAAGGATTACAAACCCGAAATGCAATGGAAGTTCTAAATTTAGAATGACTTGATGTTAATCAAACTATGTTTAAATAATTTCTCCGTGGTACAGTGGTAACTCACTCGCTTAATGAGTGAGAGGTCTCGAGTTCGAATCCCAGTCGAGGAAACTTTTTTTTTTTAATTCTTTTTTAAGTGTCTTTGTTAAGAAAGTAGCCATGATATGCAAGGATAAAGTGTGGCTGTCGTAAAAAATGAACATAAATGATTTTTTGATGCATCTCTAGTTATGCAGAATTCCGTATGTATCAAACTCTGGTGCCTTGCAAAATGAGTTATAATACATAAAAATAAAATAATACAGGAAAATGCATACAGATATACAGTACGATTTAGATTGCAAAGATCAGAAAATACCACAGAACTTGCAGCCCTTTGATTCTTTATAAATATACATGCTTTTAGTAAGCTCCAGGATTATTTACATCTGTGTTAAACAACAGTTAAAGTCGTTACAAGCCCTAATTTAGAATAATATGGTTTTCTTCAGGCCGTACACATATAAATTCACCGTGGCTGAAGGGTTTTCGGGCTCGCTTAGGAAGCGAGAGGTCTGGAGTTCAAATCCCAGTAAAGGTAACTCATTTTTTTCAAATTGTTAAAGTCAAATAAACATTGGATTGAATATCAGTGTTGCAATTAGTCTTATAGCCAATTTACTACAATTAAAACGCTGGAAAGCATTGGTAGCACTATACATATAATCTCACAACCTGCACCTTTCTTACATTCTGAGACCCAAACAAATTCAGCGCCTTCTGTGCTTTGATTCATATATGGTACAGAATTATCACACAGGTTTAATGCCTTTATCGGCGAATTTAATCAAGTTATTGGCGATCTAGTCAATGTGTTTTCTTCGTAACTTATTAGGAAATATATAATAACTAGATCTTGGCAAACTTTCAACATTTTGATTGCCTATTGTAACTTAATACAATTTAATAATTGTTTCCTGAAATAAATTATTATTTGCAAACATGTTGCCTACGTCTGATCTTGTTAGAAAATAAGAACAATAAAATACCTTTGCAAATGAAGTGAATATAAAAATAATAGAAAACAATCAGCAGAAGAAGTTTCTGTATATTTTATACGAAAGACCGGTAGGGCCATTTCAACTTCATAAATTCTCGATTTCATCTTCATGAATTCACAATTTTAACAATTTTAACTTAATGAATTTACGATTTCAACTTCGTGAATTAACGATTCATGAATTAACAAAGGTCATATTTTTAGGACCACATAAATAACACATATAACATTACATACGCAGTATCTTGATGTGTTAAGAGTGTACGCAGTATCATAATGTCTATTTTCTTTTAAGTCATTTTTCGTACAAAAGAAAAAGATTTAAAATATATTTTTGAAAATATTCTACAAGAAAATAACTTCCAGTCGTCTGAAAATTTCAGTTTAATCGACAATTTCTCAATTTCTGTAACATTTTAACGCCGGGTGTACCAGAATTCAAATCACATTCAACGCGAAATACTGACGAGAAAGGGAAGAGTTGTGTCAAAGCATTTGAAATTCTAAAACTAGAATTAAAGGGATCTTCGTTGAGAAGAAATTAAGAAATTAAATTCCAATCTATTCTGATTGTTTAACATGACTCAGAATGTGACTATCGCACGATGAACACAAATATTCGCAAAATCGTTCATTCCTTCATCCATTAAGTTACAGAACAATACAGAACAAGAAATTTTTAAACCACATACTGTTCCTAAATATTTTCTATACGGAGATCGAAGTTTATCTCTGCTCTTTATAATTGGAGGAAATAAAGAATCTATCTAGTTTCCATCCTTTGAGCGTTAAGACCATTTTGTTTGAAAAAGAATCTCTTTCTGATGAGAATAACTCATTTATTTTTATAAGGTACAAATATTTATTAAATCGTCGTGTAGATTTTAATCTTAACATTTCTATATTATCTATATAAATACTACTTACCACGTTCAATTGATATCCCTACATACTGAACTCTATCCCCTTTTTTCTTTTCTTTTTATTTATTTTTTCTTCTTCTTTCTCCTTATGCATATTACCCAAACAGCTCTACTATAATTCAATTTGGGTTATAACTGTCTTATTATTATTAGATAATTCCATATATCAGGGAAGAACCGTTTGCTGATGTTGTAAGAACTCGTGGTTCAAGCCTTTTGCTACTTTTGTATTTATATTATGATAATATAATGTTATAAATGTGTAAAAAGAGCAATAAAATATGTTTAAGTCAAAAAATCAGAATTTTTAGGATGCGCGTCACATTGAAGGTTCCATGATAGCCGCCATATGAACATATCTGCGGATGTTACGGTTCTCTATTGGCTCAATCAAACCGAGCCTGCAACATGTTTTTGAGCGTTCTTTAGGGATTCTTTATTTCTCTCTATTTTACAGTAAATGGACACCATTGGAAATAAGCTTTTAGCAATCCTAGGGTAACATATAAAACATACTAATTAATTAAATTTATAATTATTTTTGTTGCATTGAACAATGTGTGTTTTTTTTAAGTGTTTTTATATATGCAAGTTGATATATATGTGACAATATTGTATGCGTGTATGTATATTCCCTGAATAAAACGCAACAGAGATATAGGTAACACATGCCCCCAAAACAAAATTTCGCGCTGATTTCAACAATTCTTTGACATCTATAGTTATTTCCGAACTGGTTATGACATGCAAAATTGATTCTAGCTAAAAGATTTAGTTGACCGGATGCCTAGCAATCTTATACTAGATTGATTTCATTGATAAATTTGTACCCCTATTTGAGGAAATACACGACTGTCAGTCCTTAATGCTGGAATTAATCGACTGCATTATCACGTTTGTAAAATATGACTTAAATGAATTAAAATGTAGACAGTATGCATACATAATAATTATTATGTGAGACACCAACTATATTGAAAATTACCTCCCTTTAAAACTCTTTAAAACACGCATGCGCCATCTAGCGGAAACGTCATCGTTAAACAAAATGAATTCCCAAACAGAAAGTTAACAAAACTAGCAATAACCGAAGATGGAAGAAGAAAACAGGGATCAGAAAGTTAAAGCAGCAAAGGAAAAAGTATGAACTTTTTGTTATGTTATTGTTAAATCATAATTCTGGATCTGGCGTCCATGATAAACCCATAGCTCTGTCCCATAATCAAACGCGGCCTGGATCCGTGGGTAATAATAAAAATTTTTTGGCACCCTACGGAATCTGTACAATTAGCTTTGTCTGATATTGTGTTATTTTTGTTTCAAATAAAATCGTACCATTGTTCAATAGACATTAAAAAGGGAACAAGACACTCCACCCTTTAGGCTCGTTACCCCTCAAATTTTGAAGACACTTCAACCCACAGGACACTACAATGTCTACATCCCCCAAAATCGGTCAGAGTCAGACACTTCAACCCTCATCCAATATTAACAAAAAAGAGGGGTTAACTGTCTGTAAATCCATGAAATAAGACTGCCAGATGATGTTTACATATTAATTTTTTTCTGGCTTCCATAACTTGATATGTCGCTGTTATTTTGATGTTGTGCGACAGTACCAGTAAAGTTATGGGTCAACCCTATTTGCAAAGGCTACCAGAATTTTTCCAGTTTGTGTGCAGTACATAAAGACCTAATAAAATTACCCTTATAAATCAAATTTGGGTCAAATGAATATACCATTTGATAAACAAATCAATTTTAAATCAATTCATCATGTTGTTGTTTTTTAATTGAAACTTCAATGACATTGTGTACCCAACTTTTTATTAAGGAAATATGTAGAGATTGATATGAGCCTGCTTTCAAATGATATCTCGCGGGACTTCAAGTTTTGGGAATTCTAGCAATTATTTTTAGTATTAACGGACCATACACTATTTTTAGTACTGTACAATTTTAAATGAATACTTAAAAATAATTAATGAATCATCACTAAAAACAATATCAATCCAACATGTTTTTGGTATGTCTGTTATTGAATAAATATATGTCACAGTTCTGGTTGACTTTAGATATAGGATTGGCTTCAGCTGTCAGGTCTAGCTGTACTATAAAACCTGTTCGCTGAAGTCTCTCTTGCTTATATCAAATGTGCATTTGTTCAATACATCCTAAATGAAACTGTTGAAAGGTTCATCTTCATAAAGATAACATTTCTTTATATATTTTTACAGCAGGTATCCACTCTCTTCTGTTTCCATGAAATTTATTTTTTAATGGAAAATATAATTATTTGCATGCAAGTCTTGTACTTGTAATTTTTGTGTCACCTGATGCAGTGTAACAACAACACATACAGATCACTTCTCTGGAATGACCAGTTTCAAGTTTAGTTGGGCTTTTCCAGTTCAAGGATTTTTGTCAGAGTTATGGCCCTTTCATTATTTTTAAAGTTTGTCTGGAGTTATAGTAAAGGATTAATTGTTACCTCAAGTACTTTTGTATATTTGACATATTTTTTTCTGTTGAAGATTTTTGGCCAAGTTATGGACCTTGAATAAAAAAAGCCTTTTTGTCTGATAATGATTTTTGTGTCGCCTGCTACACAGTAGCTGCAACATTCTATGAAGTAGCTGCAACATCTACTGGTCAGGGACCATCAACCAGACACTTTTTGAACATTTTTCCATATGTATTTCATAATTTTAAAGCTAGACATCGACAACACACTTCTTTGTAAGGGAAAGTAAGCTTAAACTTTGACATACTATATAAAAGTATATTATTAATTATATGGTAGTAATTTGACTTAGATTTTTATTTTTCTTCCCTTTGTAGTTGGCACAATTTCAGCGTAAGAAAAGAAAGAAAAAAACATGTCATGATGAAAACAACAGCTCATCTGCACAAGTAGCCCTACAGGCAACAACAACTTCCCCACCTGAAGATTCATTCTCGGATCCACAACTTTTCATGGATGTAAGTTATCATTTATATATCACAGACAATTTTATTTTGACATACAGATCTCTTTATTCTTAAAAGCCTTCAAATCAAGTTTAAATCAAGTTCACTTTCTAACTTGACTTTTCAAATAATGGGAGGAGCAATTGTACTTGTTCAGGTTGCTGTCATACTTTGGAAGTTTGGTTAAGTTTTTGCATGCAAGTTGGTATCTCATAAACTACTAAAGGGAATGTTTTTCAACTTAAATATTCCACATTATCCAGTCTCTTGTTTTACTATCAAGCACTGAGAATAGTTTGAAGAAAGCTGTCCTACCACAGCTCATGTTATTTTATATAGATAGACATACTCAGATAGCTTAGGGGATGTAAATTGTTCTACATTGGTGTCTCCTTTTTCTGTCACCAGTAAGACTGGAATGTGACCCACACATTTAAAGTGCAAGTGTGTGTGAGGAGAACATAAAAATACAATAAAGTTCCATTTAAAAATACAACAAAGTTCCATTTTAGATTCTACAAAAGTTAACTATTACATCATTATGTTGTGTTAAGTGTTATACATGTAGTTATTTTATGTAATTTCATTAATGATACAACAACACTGTTAAGCACATTCACCATAGATGAGATGTAAAATATTCTCTAAGAATTGGAAGTAAAATATACAAATATTATATAAATTATAATGATTATGTATATATATGTAAACACTTGTGCATTATTCATGAACAATATTCTCAGAATAAGTTACATATTAAATGTCTGAATACATAGGAATGATCTTTAACATATGTCATTTGTTAAGGAATCTTAAAAACATGGCATTTTAAGGGGAAAAGAGCCATCATAGACTAAAAAGAATAAAATTATCATCATTTTGTGACACCTTAATTCCACTGTGCCACAGAAAATTGTATTTTGGAATCCTGTTAATATGAATATTAAAGTCAACACCAGTTTAGATTTAAAATTGTATTGTTTTATTACATTTTAATGCCCCCACAAAGTGGGAGCATATAGCGTTGCACTTGTCTGTCCGTCCGTCTTTCTGTCTGTCCATCTGTCAGTCCCGAAATCTTGTGAACGCAACTCCTCTTAAACCGGATGGCAGATTTTGCTTAAACTTCCAGGAATGAACAACCTTAATGTGTAGATGGTAGTAAAGGAAGGAATTTTTGCTGCGCCCCAAATTTAACAGAATTATGGCCCTTTGTTGATTTTTTCACTATATACTATGTAGTAATTTTGTGAACGCAACTCCTCTTAAACCAGATGGGAGATTTTGCTTAAACTTCCAGGGATGAACAACCTTAATGTGTAGATGGGAGTAAAGGAAGGAATTTTAGCTGTGACCAAATTTAACAGAATTATGGCCCTTTGTTGATTTTTTCACAATATACCATATAGAAATTTTGTGAACGCAACTCCTCTTAAACCGGATGGCAGATTTTGCCTTAACTTCCAGGGATGAACAACCTTAATGTGTAGATGGAAGTAGAGGAAGGAATTTTTGCTGCAACCAAATTTAAGAGAATTATGGCCCTTTGTTGATTTTGTCACTATATACCATATATATGTTATCTGTGTCCTTTGGACACAGTTCTAGTTTGGATTGAAAAGAAATTAATTCTTGTTTTTAAGTTTAACTAGGTCAGTGTCATGTCGACACTCTGAAATTAGCCATAGGGTATTTTTTTAAATCAAAAACATAAAGATGATGCAAGTTTAAAATTTTAAAGTCAGTGATATGAAAAGTTAAGATATCAAATACATGAAATGTGTAATTTATATGAAATAAAGTATGCACTGTTAGGTTTTATACATCATCAATGAGGTGGAAACAAGGAAATGAGATAGAAAAAAAATAGCATGCATGCATGACTTCTGTTTATATCTTAAAATACAAATGTATAACTTTAAACATCCTGAAATGTAAACAAATTTGAATTGAGATTTTATCAGGTGGCTGTATTTGTGTTTCAATTTTGTTTTGTTAGATAGCAGTAACAACAACAAAAATGCCAAAAAACCAATAACAGCAAAAACATTTTGTTGATTTTTTTGGTTAGTATTTAAGTAAAGTAGGATATTTAAGTAAAATACAATATGATTCATACAATAGTTCAAATTTTTATAAGACTTTCAACTTAATGCCAAATATCTGCAACTTGTAAAAAGAAATCAAATGAACAAATTCAGTTTATAAATGACACTGCACAAATATAACCCATGTCACCCCCACTACTTAGGATGGTATATAGGTATGTCCATCCACCCAGTCATGCTGTCCATCCCTACATTGACAAAACAGTGTGATGTGTGGACATCTGTGTTCTTTGGACACATTTCTACTTCTAGTTGATAACTGTTTTACATATGAGCAGTGTCACGACAAAACCAACATAATGGGTTTGCGACCAGCATGGATCCAGACCAGCCTGCGCATCCGTGCAGTCTGATCAGGATCCATGCTGTTCGCTTACAGACCCTATAACAAGTAGAGAAACTGATAGCGAACAGCATGGATTCTGATCAGACTGCACGGTTGCGCAGGCTGGTCTGGATCCATGCTGGTCGCAAACCCATTATGTTGGTTTTGTCGTGACACGGCTCAATTATGTGGTACATTTTGACTATTTCTATGACAATTGTTTGAAGAACAGTTTACCAGGTGATGTTTTAAATTCTGTTACAGACTGGCACTTGACCTACATTCAAATAGAACATAAGGTCTTGATTTATGATTGTAATTACATTCCAGGCAGTTTATTGAAATTTTTCTTTTACTGCTTTCAGGGTGATTCATTGACTATTAGTAGCTGTAGTGAAGATGACACAGATTCTGGACAGGTATATACATGTACTATAGTAATTGTAAACTTCTTTCAGCTGGTTTTTATGCCCCCGAAGGGAGGCATAATATAATCGCACTGTCTGTCCGTCCATCTGTTCGTCTGTGCGTCCCCACTTAATTTGTGTCAGTACTGTAACTTTGTCATATATTGAGGGATTGTGAAATAACTTGGCACAAATGTCTACCACATCAAGATGATGTGTTGCGTTCAAGAACCACGTCCCTACCTCAAAGGTCAAGGTCACACTATCATTTTGAAATTTCACATTATCGCAATTAAGAGTAAATAGGTACACACATTCGTGTCCGGACTGTAACTTTGTCACGCATTGAATGATTTTAAAATAACTAGGCATAAATGTCTACCACATCAAGACGATATGTCGCGTTTAAGAATTAAGTCTCTACCTTAAAGGTCAATGTCACACTAACATTTTGAAGTTTCACATTATCACAATTAGAATTAATAGGTACACACAATCGTAGCCGGGCTGTAATTTTCTCATGCATTGAAGGATTTTAAAATAACTTGGCATAAATGTGTACAACATCAAGACAATGTGTCGCATCCAATAATCATGTCTCTACCTCAAAGGTCAAGGTCACACTACCATTTTGAAGTTTACTTTATCACAATAAGAGTTTATAGGTACACACATTCGTGTCTGGACTGTAACCTTGTCATGCATCGAAGGATTTTAAAATAACTCGGCATAAATGTCTACCGCTTCAAGACAATGTGTCGCAACAAAGACCTATGTCCACACCTTCAAGGTCAAGGTCACACTCATAGGACCTTCAGTTCTCTCTCGAGAAGAGTACTAATAAACACATTGATGTCCGGACTGTTGTCATGCATGGAAGAATTTTAAAATAACAAATGTCTACAACATCAAGACAATGTGTCACGGCTAAGGCTCATGTCCGTCTGTCCCCACTTACATAACAATCATGTCCAGACTGTAACTTTGTCATGCATTGAGGGATTTTGAAATAATTTGGCACAAATGTCTATCTCTGACTCATAACAACATTTTGTCACGTCAAGGAACCACGTTCCTTCTTCAAAGGTCAAGGTCACACTTATATTTTGAAGGTACATGCTATCACAATTTGAGATTACAGGTACAATAATACAAAGAACACTATTCAGCAATTTGTTACTTTCATTCTCTTTTCTTTTCATAATACCTGCATGCTTAAGAAACCTTTTCGGGGGCATTTGTCACTTTGGTGACAGCTTTTGTTGTGTAATGGGAATTTTCTGGTCAGCATATTAAATTTGATTAATGCAGGGATTTTAATAGGGCTGGATCAATATACCGGTAAATCGGTATTTATCGATTTTCCGTTTTTCAATATGGTACGATTATCGGGTTTTAGCTATACCGATACAAAGGGAGACAACCTAATAAAGTGTAACTTATAAACATGATGGCTTTACATTAAAACTATCGTCTTTAAAATGTCCGCACGATAGTCAAAAGTGTGGAATTTTCTCTAAAGTAAATGTTAAGAAGGCCCTCAGCAATATTTGAAAGGCTGCATTGATTAGTTCAGGTGGAACAACGAATGTGTCAATACACAAAATGACGGATAAATCCGTGACAAAATTTATCCGGCCATTCAATCTCCTATTTCTAACATTGGTAAAAAATACTTTCAGGTCGGCAGTAGTTTGTATTAGACCAAAAACATTTACTTGTAATTTAATCAAACACATATTGTAAACACATAAATCCTACAAATTTATTGATTTTCCAAGATGTAGTTTGCTAACTAAATAAATGTGACTGCGCGAAGACGTAGCTAAACACCGTTTCCCGGTACATTACGGATTACGACACCACAACATCATTACATGATATTTATATTTAAATTGTAATTTTACCGTTTAAGATATAAAAAACATGATTTGTTAGAAAATTTTCAATGTTCCAATACTTTCTCAGCGTATATATTTCAAATTCTACAAAAATTTGATTTTATTAAAAAAGGTCTTATAATTTAGAACAGTTGACTTGTAGACAGTACTAGACTTCTGTCATAATAAATAGTGATGTTTTAATTATTTTCTGTTTAACTTTTCCTAGTATTTACATAATTATATTTTTGCATTGAATTATTTCTCTACAAAGCTTTTTATTTTATTTTTTCAAAATAATTGTTTTATCTAAAAAAAGGGGCCATCATGTCATTTTCAAAATATTATCTCAAAAGTACTAATTAAGGTACCTATGCACCTGCTCTGTATTATATATCATCATTAACAAAGTCAAAATCTAAAACAGATATAAGAAAGATTTAATAATATTTCACCAGGGCATCTATGAAATGTAAATAGTACTTTTAATAAGTACATCCTAACATTGAAGCATCATTCTACTGTATCGTCAATACGTATTGTGTATCGTTGGTCTGTATCGCAATACGTATCGTATCGGAAATTTCTGATCAATACCCAGCCCTAGATTTTAAGATAAAAATACATTTACTTTGAATATGAAGAGCAATCAAAAAGTTGGATCAGACATGTAGAAATATAAAGTAAGGTGTAAAAATTCAACTGATGCCTATACTCTGTAGAGTCATATCATGATTAAGAGAAAATTTTAAAAAAATGTTAATTTTGCACACATTGCATGTGTATTTTATTGTACATGTATCATAACATCTTGATAATTGTAGGAATTGTCAACTCAAGCTCAGCTACGTTTGAAATCCAAGTTACAGGAGAGATCTCAGAGGGTGGAAGAACTGGAAGAGTCATTGGTTGGTAAACAGCTTGCTCTTGATAAAGTCATCAAAGAGAATGAGAAATTGAAAACTTTGATTCACCATGTTGATCACAATGAGGTACATTCATATGGAAAGCCATGGCTGTCTGATATTGTTCTTTTTCAATTTATGTAACCATTTGGATTATTAATACATTGGTTTCATATATTAAATAATGAATTAATGTATTGATAATTCGGTTTCATATTCCATACATGGCTACTTTGGTACAATATATTGAAGAATTGGAATCATATGTTAAGAAAAACAACTTATATATTGCTAACTCGGTTTCATACACTGACGGCATGGTTTCATATATTGTAACTGTGGATTAATATAATGGATTCTGGTTAAATAAGAAGGTGTATTTAAGTCATATATAATCGAAGTGACTATCCAAATGGTTAAATAAATTGAAAAAGAACAATATCAGACAGCCATGGCTTTCCATACATTCAGGTTTCATTTATTAATACTATTACTTGATTTCTACTATTAATTAATATTATACTTTCTGTTTAACAAGAAGGCCAATGATTTTATTATTGTTTTAAATACTACAATCTTTAATTAAAAAATTGACTGTAAAGTCAGTCGAAAGTGTGCACTTTAGTAAAATCACCAACCTTCCTGATAGCCTCTCCATGTAAAAGAATCCAAAGATTATTAAATATAAATTTTATGTTAAAAAAATGACCAAATTGACTTGAAATGTAGTTTTGATTTAGATTTGTAAAATTTAGTTGAAATTAGGTGTGTAACAATACAGCAAAAACCGTATTGCAATATATTGCCATTTTGCTGAAGCGTATTGCAATATATTGCAATACGTATTGTCCTGTATATGTTTTGATGTAAAGATAGAGTAACATTTATATATTATTATTATATGTATATATTTTTAGTAGAAACTTAATAAAAATGTAAGGAATAAATAGAAAGTAGTGTCACACAATTTGATAAACAAAACTAGTCGCGTGTGACCTTTCACATCTGGGCCGCTTATGTAAATTATGCGGCCGCTTATTGACTTTTAAGTGTACTAGTTGTCGGATACTTATGTTGGCCCCAACAAAATTTGGCAATTAAAGATTTTATGTGAAATTTGTACAAAATTAGAAGGCAATTAATTGAAAATGATGGTTTTTATAAAATACCGGTTTTCCAAAAATCGTACCGCAGTTCGAAATTTATTTTTTCATATTGCAATATATCGGTATACCGGTAAACCGTTACACCCTTAGTTGAAATATATTTGAGCTGCGTCACGACAAAACCAACATAGTGCGCTTGCGACCAGCATGGATCCAGACCAGCATGCGCATCGGCGCAGTCTGATCAGGATCCATGCTGTTCACTTACCAACCCTATTACAAGTAGAGAAACTGATAGTGAACAGCTTGGATCCTGATCAGACTGCGGGGATGCGCAGACTGGTCTGGATCCATGCTGGTCGCAAACGCACTATGTTGGTTTTGTCGTGACACGGCTTATTTGTCATGCTTGTGATTCTTGATGCTGATAATAACCATTCTTTAGCCAGTTATTGAATCATCAAGTACTGGTGTCATATGAGGAAACTAGCATGTGACATAGAGAATAGCTTGCACTCAGTGTCACTATGTTGAAGCAAAGGGCTTTACTCCCTGTCTTAGTCTTTATATGGTGCTAGTGCAAAATCAAAGGATGATGCTATGAGTGTTATAAAACTTGAAAAATTTACAAATATATTATCCATGAGCATGAGAATAAAGCATCTATTGGACAGAAAAGTTTATCTCTGTCATGGGAAGGGGTGTCTGTGGCTGAGTGGTTAAGGTCGTTGACTTCAAACCACATGCCTCTCACCACTGTGGGTTTGAATCCCGATAGGGACTTTGGATTCTTTCATGTGAGGAAGCTATCCAGCTAGCTTACGGAACGTCGGTGGTTCTACTCAGGTGCCCATTCGTGCCTGAAATAATGCACGGAAGGGCACCTGAGGTCTTCCTCCACCAGTAAAGCTGGAATGTCGCCACATGACCTATACTGTGTCGGTGTGACGTTAAACCAAATCAAACAAACAAACTGTCATGGGAAATTGCATTTTTTATTTTTTGCATTTAAATATTATTCTTTACAGCAGTCAGATGCAAATCACAACCCTGTTGGGAATATGGCTGAAAATCAGAACCAGTCCTGCTGTACAAATGGTGCTGTTGAGAGCCAGTCTAGAGAAACTTGTTCCCATACAAGCTCAGAGAGTGAAGCTGGTACCCAGGAATTCACTATCTCAGATGTGCAAGAATTAATGCATCATCTACAGTGGCTGCAGCTACAACTTAAACAGGTAGGGTTCTTCGAAAGAAATTATACAAAAAGTCTTTGATTTAGTTTATCTTTTTTGTAATAAGTCCTTTTAGGTTCATTTAAATTTTAATTTGAAAGAATTGAGGCTGACATTTGGTCTTGTGTGATAATATTAAAGTGTTAGATGTAGAAAAATGGCAAAATTTTAACTTAATATCTCTTTGATTGGTGGACAGGGTGAAATAACTCTGTGCCTATTGATCGGGAAAATTAAGACTAAAAGTGTAATGGTAATTACTGGTTTGTTATTCAGGAAAGCCGTTTAGGAAGGCTGATAGTTGAAATATGACTTGAAATGTGTGAAAAATCATTGTAAAATATACTATAAATTTTTATATGTTCTGAATATTTACCTCTCATTCTTTTTTCTTATCTTACATCTTCTGTATGTTATCTTTTTATAAATCCCAATGCCATGTGTTCTATATTTTCTTCATTAGTCTTTGATAAGATAGAGAAAAACCAAATCCCTAGAGAATGCCTGAAATGGCAAAATTGAAAATTTTGCAGTGTCTGTGAGATTAAAATCTTTTATCTTGGTTTTATGAACATCAAGAAGTTTACTGTTAGGCTAGTGCTTGGGAAATTGTTGATCCAATCAAATAAAGTCTGCACTTAACATATATTAATTTTTGTTCATTACTCTGCAGCGTCTTTCCTTTTTCAGATTTTTGTTACATTTGTATAAGGATTATGTGAAAACATCCAATATATTAACATATTCTTTGGTGTATGTTTGGGTTCACTTTTGAATTAAACCACTATTTATTCAAAGGCATGCCCGCATAGCAAACCTCAAACATGCTGTGTTTTTGTGTAAATTAACTAGATCTTTCCTATTCAAACCTATTTTACTTTTTTGCAGGCTAACAATACCTTACAAATGCAGAATGAGAAACAAAAAGAAACTGCAGGTGCTCTTTGTCGTGCCAAAGAAGAGATAAATTTACTCCAAAACAGTATTATACATAAAGATAAACTGCTGAATGAACTTGTTGAAAAAATGAAATTAGTAACTACAGAGTATGGATTGCTGAAACAAAACTATGCATGTATGTCTGAAAGCAGTAATGAAAATTTAGCGAAAGAAGTTGAAAAAGAAAAGAAGATGAGAGCAGAAATAGAAAATGCACTGAAATCTGAGCTTGAAGGAGTCAAATCTGAGCACGAATGCAAAATCCAAGAACTCGTTGAAAGTCATAAGGAAAGACTAGCAATGGTAACTGAAGAGTATGAGTTAAAAATTAAAGATCTTGAATCACAATTGATAGAGATAAGAACGAAAAACAAAGAAAATGAGATAAGCTTGGAGAAAATGACCAATGAGAATACTGGTTTGCAATCTTATTGTGATACATTGACAAAAGGTTTAGAATTTCTAAAAGAAGAGCATGAGAAAGCTGTGAGTGAACTTAATGAATTGTCTGGAGGGTGTAAGATCTTGAAATCAGAGTATGATAATCTTGTTGAGGAGAAAGGATTAAGTGAGCTACAGGTAGAATCATTGACAGCTGAACTTGACCATGTGAAAACTGAAAGAGAAAGTTTACTTGTTGAAATTGATAGGTTAAAAAATGAAAATGACAAATTTATTAATGATACTAAAGGTATTAATGAAAAGTTGGAAAACATAACAGTGGAGAATCAGAAACTTTTGCAAGATAATACTGCCTTGGCAGATGAATTAGTTAAATTAAAGGGAGATAATGCAACATACCAGAGCCAGATTGCTGAATATGAGGGTAAATTAAGTGAAAGTGAAGAAATACTTGATGAAAACCATTCTCTTCATGTGCTAAATGATGAACTCAACAATAAAATCAATAACCAGAAGGATGTGATAGCAACATTGAAAAATGAACTTGAAGTTTTGACATTAGAAAATTCACAATATGTTGGTCAGGTGGAGGTTTTATCAAATGGTTTACAGCAAGTTAAAACGGAAAATATTGACTTAAATGGAAAAAATGAAAATCTTCTGAAAGAGGTCACACAGCTGAAAGATAAGATATTGCTTTTAGAAGAAGAGAATTTACAGAATAGAGACAATCAGTTAGTGCTGAATGAGGAAATACAAAATTTAAGACAATGTTTAGCCGAGTCCTCCCCTGAGCCATCAGCTAAAGTGCCTGTACAAGTAACAAATGTGCTGAAATTAAATCAGTCTTTAGACACTGTAAAAGAAGTAAAATATCCAGTACCAGAAGAATTGGAAATTGTAAATGAAGAAATGATAGTTGCTCAGGAAAGCAAGTCTCGAAGTGAGGCAGCACCACATGTGTTCACAAGTCGAAGGGATGATAATGATGTTGAAAATGATAAGAATGAATATTCTGACAATGGTAGACGTTTCAAAAAGAAGAAACAGTCTATTGATTTAAGTGATTATGAGTCAAAAATTGTAGAATATGAACATAAAATTGAACACTTGAACAATGTGATTATTGAAATCCAAGCATCAAAATTTTCAAATGAGGTTGTAGAAGGAGCTAAGCAAGTATTAAAAAGCGATCTTTCAAGTGAGACTGGTGATGAGTCAGATAAAATGTCTGCTGCTGCTACTAACATTGATGACACTGCATATGAGTCTTTGTTCGGTGATCATGCCCATGTAGAACCAGGGTATTCTAATTCTGATGTAGACATTCTTGCGGAGAGACTACAGAATATTCAGCAGGAATTAAACACTGCAACTCAGATGTTACAACATAAAACCAAAGAATGTGAAGAACTTCAACAGGAACTTCATAGTGCTAAACAAAAACTGTTGCAAGACAAACCAGAATCGTCAGATGGCAGTGAAGGTGCTTTAAATGATATTGATAATATTGAGACTGTCAGTAAACAGACCAAGGTAAGTGAGACCTGTTCAGTTACCTGTTTGGAAAAGGAGGTTAATATGCATGCTTCTTCCTCTTTATGTTCTGTTCCGAATGATGGTGTTGTTACTATAGATTCTAGTTTACCTGGGATTATTTGTAAAGGTGATAGTGATTTCTATGTTGACCAAGATACATTTCAGAATGTGAATGAAGATAGAATGGGTATGGGATTACATTCATCTGACCAACAAGGAGTATGCTGTGATATGGAAGGACTAAGAACTGAAACTGACAATGGTATTCATGAAAATTTGTTAAGAGAATTAGCAAAACTGAAAGAAAATTTGATGATTAAAGAAATGGAAGTTATGAATTGTAAAGATACACTGGAACAAATGAGTAACAAAAATTCTGATTTAAACACCTGTGTTGAAAATTTGGAAAGAGAGCAAGAACTATTGAGAACTGAACTTGAATCAAAAGATAAAATAATATCAAAATTAAGAAAAGATCAAGAAAATTTAGAAACTGTATGTGAGCAATTTCGAGTTAGAATGAAAAATACAGATGAAATATCAACTGAAAGAGAAAAACAGGTAAATGAGCTTACTTATGAAAATGAAAAATTGTTGTGGGAAAGAGATGAAATGAGTCAATCTTTGACAGATACTGAAAAACAAGTGCTTGATATGAAAACTGCAAAATGTGATATTGAATTTCAAAAGATGCAATATGAAGAGGAGCTTAACAGAGTGAAAGAGCGTCTGGAATACCTTGAATCATCCGACATTGATATTATGGAAATTAAAGATATGCTTGAAAAAGTTCAAGAAGAAAAAGAGAATATATTGCGAGAAAATGAGAATCTAAATGGATCTCTTTCTGCACAAATTGAAGAAAATGAAAAATTGTTGGAAACCATGCAATGTTTGCAAAAAGAAAATGCTTCATATTTAGAAAGGTTTAAAGTTTCTACTATTGAATTAGATGATGTAAGCAATGAACTTAGAGAAAGAAAATTAGCTGTTGAAAGTCTTGAAGAAAAAGTGAAAATATTAACAAATGAAATGCAGTCTCAGCATCTTAGGTTTGAGGGTGAAATTGAAGGTTTATTGGAAGAAAATTCAACTCTAAAAACCAATGTTCAGATGAAAATTGACGAATGTGAAATACTTAAAAATGACAATGAAAGATTGCAAAGTTTTTTCCCTAATATTGATGAAGAAAATGGAAATAATAACTTACTGAAGACAAAAGTAAATGAATTAGAAGACATTGTAAAAGAATTGAAATTTGAAAATGAAAATTTAGTTGCAGAATTAATGGAAAGTCAGAACAAAGTTTTAGAAGGTGCTGAAGAAAATGAACTATTACTTGATAAATGTGAGGAATTTCAAAGGATAATTAGTGAGCTTGATGATGAAAAAACGTTGCTGATAGAAGATGTGGAAAGAATCAGACAAGAAACAAGTACTAAATTACAGGAAAGTAATGCTGTGATGGAAAAGTATGAAAATCAACTTGAATCTTTAGACCAGGAAAACTCAACACTGAAGACACAAATTTTAAGTCTTCATCAAGAAAAGGATGAAAATGAAATAGATAATCATGATTACAAGGAAAAAATGATTGCTCTAGAGCAAGATTTGTTAAGTTTAGGAGAACAGGTTAAACAGTATGAAAATACAATTGTAGAGAAAGAGGATATTTCATTGAGGTTAGGAGCACATATTGAAGAACTTTTAAAAGAAAATACACACCTAAAAGACAAGTGTGATAGCCTTGAAACAGATTATCATGATGTAAAAGAAAGGGAAGCTTATTTAAAAGAACAAATGAAAATTTATGAATGTGCTCTCAATTCTGGGGAAGAAGGCAGCAGGCAAGAAATCAAAGTTTTGAGTTCAAGGTTGGAATTAGAAAGCAAATACAAAGCGAAGTTTGAGAAGGATTTAGAACATTCACAGAATTGCTTAGCCCAAATAGAGGAAGAAAATAAAAAGATGAAAGAAAGGAATACCATGTTAGAAAAAGAACTGAAAGTCGCTATTGACAGTAGAAAAGAATCAGAAAAAGATAAAGAGAAATTGAGTTGTGAGGTTGATAAAACACTTGGTGAAAAACAAATACTGGTAAAAGAAAAAAGTGAATTAAGAAACACCCTTAGTGAAGTATCCAAAAGCAATGAAATGTTAAAGTCTGAAATAAGTACCTTACAGCATCATTTACAGGCTATTTCAGATAACAGGACACATATTAGAAACCAGGTTGAAATTCTTGCAGCCGAAGTTGAAAATTTAAATGACACTAATAATTCTATGAATGCCCACATAATGGAACTTAACTCTTGGCAAAGTTTTAAGCATAAGGAATGTGAAGAAGTCTTAGAGGATAAATCAGAGTTAACTGAGGAAAATGCAAAGTTGAAAAATAAACTTGAGACATTACAGACAGAGATTGAAAATTCCAGGAAAGGTGCTACTGAACCTGAACACAGTCAACATATTAATATTAATGATATGGAACAGGAATTAATTGAATTGCACAGTGAAAATGAATCTCTAGTAGATGAAATAAATGAACTGCAAGACAAATTAAATGAAAAAGAGGAAGTTATAAAAGCTTTAAATGAAACTATAGATGAAAATGAAGCAATAAGATCAGAAAATGAGGACTTGCAGCAGCAAAACAATGAATTGCAAAGCCATTTTCAGTCTCTTCGTGAGAAGTTAACAAAGCTAGATGAATTAATTGAAAAAAATAAAGCTGCAGAAGTTGATAATGATGCCTTAGGGGAAAGACTTGATGTTCTTCAGAAAAGAATAGTGGAAATACAGAAGGAGAAGCAAGCACTTCAGACGATGACAGATGATCTTACAAATATGTTACATGACATGCAAACAAAATATGAAGAAGTAAAATCAGAAATGGAGAGTACAAAGAAGAAATGTGATAAAGAAATAAATCATTTACAAAATCAGCTACATGAAATGAATGAGGACGTAAGTGAATTAAGAAAGATGCTGGATTATATGGAAAATGAAATGTATAGTCATGCTGAGGAGAAATCTATTTTGAAAGAAAATCTGGAACAACAACAGTCTCAGTTTGTAGAAGTGTGTGAACAAAAACAAAAACTAGAAGAAATTTTAAGTGAAAAACAGCAGAAAGATTTGAAAAATATGCAAATGGCTTCTCAAAGACAAAAGAATAACAGTTTGAATACATCAAGAAGCGAAACAGACATTCCATGTAGCGTAAACATGACTATGGATGATAACCAAAGTCAGTGTGAACAAGATTTACCATGTAATGATCAAAATGACAATGAAAGTCAGACTGAAATTCGGGAGATGAATACACAGCCAATGGAAGAGGTTTTAAGGGACAGCACTGACAGTGATTTTTCTGATATAATACCTTCATTTGAAAGTGCTTTTCATTTATTTGGCCTTGCTTCCTCTGATGAAAGTGCTTCTGTAAGTAGAATGGTTCAGACTAACATAACAATAAGAAGTTGTGATGATGTAGGCTTTCTGTTGGATGATGATGAGGAAAAAACTAAAAATGATCAAGTATTGGTTAAAATTGATATTGAAACACAAACAGATATCGTTAAAACTTTCAATGAATTAGAGGTCTTTCCAAACATTGATATTCCTGGAAATGATTCAGTAATGGTTAGTCAAGATCTTAGAAATGAAACTGTTAACATGGAGGTTTGTGATTCAGAGCGTGTCATTGAGAGTGATATATTCTTTCAAACAAAAGATTTTGCAAGTTCTGAAACAGGGGAAGAGTCTGATACAACAGGAAAAGGCCATGCTTTTAGTCAGATTTGCGACACTACAGTTAATAAATGTGACACTGCCAGTCAGGTAGATTTCGAGGTAGAGTCAATTTCTTGCCAGACGGTTACTCAGCAGGTTCAAAATTCTGAAAATCAAAGACTTCTAAGTTTAGACATAGATAATGAGGACATGTCAGAAACGATATCAGCTAATTTTTCGATTCTTTCAGCTGATAGCGGGATACAATCGGCTTGTCCTGGGGCAGATGGGAGTAATATTCCATTTCAGTACCCTGATAGAAATAATATGAAGAATATTGAAGATTCAAACACTGAATTTAAAAATGATGATAAAGTGGATGGCATTGAAGTCAATAACAGTGTTGCCAAACTAGAATGTGTGGAAGAATCTTCCCAAACTGACAGAGGTTTTGAAAGTGAACTAGAAAGTGCCATTGCAGAAGTAAAAGAACAGTTAAAAATTGAGTTCAATGAAAAATCAGTTGAATTAGAGGCAGAAATTGAAAGCAGAGTGTTGACAAATTTAGACTCTAGGGAACAGAAAGTCCATTTACTTGAAGAAAGTTATGACAGAAAGATAAAACAAATGGAATATGAGATTGAAGAGAAATATGAACAGAAGTTTCGGATGAGGGAGGTTGAGATTGCCTTTGAAGCTGAAAAAGATATAAAAGCTCAGGCAACCAAAGCTAAGAATGCTGCTGAAATAGAGATAGAAAAAATCAAACGTGAAAAGGACCAACAGTTTGTAGAAACTCTTCAGAAAGTTAAAGCAGACCTTAACAAACGGCAGCGTAAAGAGTCAGGAGATATGAGGAGGACAGTTTCTTATGATAGTTCAAGCGAAAGGAGAGACCAAGAGATAGGGCCAGAGGGAGATGCTACACAAATGCTTGATGGAACATTCCAAAAGTTTGCTGAAGATCAAGAGGTGAGAAAATTCTATGTATGTCATATATAAAAAAAGCAATGAGACTATCATTTTTATTTGTAAAAAAAGCCCCTTACTATGTAATAATAACATTTTTGATGGAATAGAAATGTCATTACCTTCTGACATCTGGCCATGAACAAAATAAGCAAAAATAACTCATGTACAGACTCTATCAAACAAAGTTTGCAATTTTCATGTAATTTTGTTTCCATTGCTTCCAAGGGATCATCCCTTTTCCAGATTATTCAATCTTATATGCACCTTATGGTCATAAAATCATGAGTTGCACTAGCTAAGTCAGCAGGTCCTCTCTGCAAAATTTTAGACACAGAAAGAAACCTAAACAGAAGCTTTAGTTCAAATTCACAGGATTTAAAAGATATTTTAAATGTAAAATTTTTTGTGCTAATTTTAGCTCATTTAATTGCATTGCAGTTACTGATATCTTCTCGATAACAAAAGGGTAGATTTTGATGAAACTTAATAGGAATGAAGTTTCAGTTGTGTACAAAACTAGCTTGAAATTTCTGGTTAGCTGAGCAAAATTGCCACAAGGACAAAAGAAAAAAGACACCAGATTTAAATGAAACTAAATGTACTATATAGTCACACTCACAATAAAGGGTTAAATTTGCTGTATTGTCATGAAGCTGAAGTTTGTGTAGTATAACTTCTGCATGCATGATTGTATTTCAAAACAGATCAGTACACATAAGTAGAGGATGTCTCTTGTCAAAGAGCCTGCAAAGTGGTATAACTTGCTTTGAAATTGCAGATTATTTAGATATATAATTTTAGTCTTATATGGTAAGGGGTCATAATGAAATAACACAAAGCATGCATATAATGATGTTAAGAAGCAAAATTTAGATGTAATTTGTGTTGATGTTTTGCCTTGTCCCTCTATTTGACTATTCTATTGAGCAAATTAAGGCTCTTCTTACTCCTAGTATTATGTCAATAATTTATAGTAGCTAGTAGAATACATTGCAAACAGAATGAAATATCATACAATGTAACATAAATTCCTTGAGATGTCTTATTGTATGATTTATTTGACACCCTTGTGGCCATATGATATTGATGAAAAGATCACAACAAAATCATTAAAGTCGTAAAATGCTGTTTAAATTTGTTTTGTGCAATTCAATATAGGTGATATCACAATTCGTGTGATCTTCATTTTGACTTCAATTGCATGCAACATTATTCATATATCTGTACAAACTTCTTTTTGAAAACAGGTAGGTTTACTACATAGCAGTTAATTAAATAATCTAAAAAAAATGGCAACAAACATAACATTATTTCAGTAATGGATATCAAAATTTCTTTATACCAAATCCTCATACACATATTGTTTTGCTTTTGAGTATATATAGTTCTTTCTTGCGGAAGAAGTAAATAAATAATTCATGGCACAATTTGTAAAGAAATAAGAATTAATTAGATTAACCTTTGTGTTATTGCAATGGTTAGGTCCAAAAAGACATTTATATACAGATACATGTTTAAATATTCATGAATGACAACATTTTTGTGCAAATACATTATATTTATGAAATATTTATTCTATATTATATTCTTATTATTTATTCTAAGGAATACATAATGGACTTAAGAATTGAAAACATAATGGAATTTAGAATTGAAACTTTTCCAAAATAGTTGAAGAGTTTATATCTTCAAGAGAGATAGTTTTGAAGTTGGTTATGACTCAGTTTAAAAATGGGAGATCTTGAGATTGGAATATTTTCTATTTCAGGAAATTGCTTTAGAAAGAGATACTTTGCTGAAACAGATTAAAGTAACTCAAGCAGAACAGGAAGTACTTTGTCAACAATTGCAAAGCATTATGGGAGAGCACAGCAATATGGGAAATGACAAGCAAACTAAGCAGGAGCAAGACCAATCATGGTTAGACTGGGACCTTCATCCGGAACTTTCTTTTGGCAGCATGAGATCTAGTTTGGATACCAAAAGTTTGAGTGGCAGTCTGGATCCATCTTCATTTTGTTCAAATTCTGACTGTTTAAATGTGAGAATGAAGTATGAACACCTAGTTGACAAGATTCAACAGTTCTTAAGGTCAAGATCATTGCAAGAGCCATCTGACAGTGCAGGACCAGTGGAAAGAATTCCAACAGATGGTGATGATGATGATGATGATGATGATGATGATATAAGTAACAATGGTGCTAAATATAATGATCGATTTGAAGAAAATGATGAGCATGAAAGTCAAATGCTTCACCGAATAACTTCAATAGATCTTGAAACTTTTGTAAGGGTTCCAAAACCAGCTGATGCAGCTAAGTCTGGTGACCAGTTTGTATATGAGGCTGATGATATAAATGATGACACTACAAGTACGCTTGATTTAGATAGAGATGTAATTGACAGATTGGTCAGAGGAGAATCTAATAGTTCGGAAAATGAAAGGTATAATGCTGAAGGTCGTTTTTCTGAAAATGAAGATTCTGATGATGACAGTGACAGTGATATTATAGAAAGAAATAGCGTTATTAAGTTAAATCAGTCTAGAAGCAGTGCATCTTTTGCAGAAGAAGGTGGACTTTTTTGTCAGGAAGGAGAGTCTCATGTATTATTGAGAAAAAAAAGGCATTTTTCAGATTCTGATATAAGGTTTGATGGAAAAAGTGTTCAGATGACAATGTCACAGAGTGTAAATAATGAAGGGCGTTTTGTTCTTGAAAGATTAGACTCTCAGGTAGAAAAACATAACTTTGGGAAGGAAGAAATATATACTGATCAGTCAGGTGAGAAGAATTCAAATGAGGATAGTGTATTTGAAGAAATGGAAGTTAGAAATGTTTCGAAATTGGCTTCAGAGACTAAATCAAATACAGAAAAACCATACTTGAAAAAGTCTGAAAAAGACGTTGATAAGTTCATAGATGAAAGTAATGATAACCAACCACCAGGGACACAAGAAGTTGTGATGGGTGCAAGTTGTGAGCCTAGGACAGGTGAAGAAACTGGAGACTTTTTTGAAGAAAAGATTGTAAGGTCAGTGGTGCTAAGTTCTAAGGCAAAGAATAGTCAGGACACTGTTGCTATGTCAGTATCACCTAGATCAGAACTAAGAAATACTGAACAAAATCTTGAATCAGACTTGTCAACTGTAAAGGAGTACAAAAATGGTCAACAGAGTTATGAAAATACAGTGTTTGACATTCTGAATTCCATATGCCCTGGTACAGATCCTGGGAGAAGGCCTGGTGCTAATGTTGTTATTGAAGATACTTTTCAACCTGTGTTAAAAGAATTTGAAAATAAAACGGATGAATTTAATGAGTCTCCAGGCTCCTCTGAATCTAATCTTCAAACTTTGAAAGCAGACTTGAGACACATGAAACTTGAGCTGAGATCGCTTACAAATGAAAACAGGGTGTTAAAAGATACAATAAAGTCAAAAGAGATTGAAGCAAAAAAAGATGCTGAGGTTTTGGTTGAGAAAATATCTGAATTAGAAGAAACAAATAGAGAAACCGTTTTGGGAATGGAAAATGCTTACAAAAAGTTAACAAATTATGAACAAGTTGCAGGGAAATACAAAGATTTAGAACAAATGAATAAGGAACTATTTGATGAACTGGAACATTGTAGAGAACTGTTGTTACACCATGAATCAGATGTTAAAACCAAACAGGACCTTTGTGAGAAGCTTGAAACAGTTGAAATTGAATTAGAATGCAAAAGAAGTGATAACACAGAATTACAAAGAAAGTATAGTGAAATGGAAACAAAATGTATTAAAATGGAGAAATTGAGCAATGAGATTGCATTGGAAAAAAGTGAAATTTTGGCACAAAATAGTAAACTTTTATCAGACTTTGAAATGTTTAACGATTTGCAGGAAAGACTTAAAAGTGAAAATGCAAACCTTATACATGAAAAGTCTGAACTTGAAGATGAAAAAGAGATTTTGAAGTCAAGGAGTGAAAACAATGTATCTTTACTAGAAAAACAAGAGGAGTTGAAAAAGAAAATCACTGAAGTACAAAGTGAAAAGGAAATGTTAGAAGTAGAATTTGCAAAGAAAGCAGATTTGATTTTCAAAGAAAAAGATGAACTAGAAAAGTCATTACTTGATCAAGCAGATATGTATGACAGGAAAGAGGAAGAAATCAAGAAATTGAAAAAACATCTTCATGACTTAGAGAGAGAAAATGAAATTTTAAAAGAAAAGTATGAAATTGAATTAAATGAAAACAAAAATTTAAAAGATGATCTCGAAAGAGAAATTTCTTCAAAAATGGAATTAATATTAAAGGGAGAGAAAATGAGTGAAGATTTTGCTGAAATGAAATTAGAATTAGATACTCAATGTACCAGTTTGAACAGTGAAATTAAAAATCTTAAAGCAGTTGTTGAAAATTCTGAGAGTAGATTAGATGAATTAAAACATGAGAAGGAGGAGCTGAATTATTTAATTCAAAAGTCTGATGTTCTAATGGAGGAAAAGGATAATCAAATACAAGAGAAAGACAAAATGATAACAAGTTTGGATAGTTCAAACCAGGACCTCATACATAAGGTAGAGAAATTACAGGTTGACACCATGTCATTGCAGTCTGTTGTAGACGAAATGACTGCAAAAATAAATGAAATGACAAAAGAAAATGAAATATTGCAAGACATTGAAAAGGAGTCAACAGGTTTAAAAGAAATGAATGAGTCATTGAATAATGAATTGATGAAAGTCAAAGAAATAAACAAAGAAAATGAATGGGCAATAAGTGAGTTGTCTGAACAGATTGAATGTCTTGAGAAAGAAAAAATGATGGAAAATGATATTGTACAAACATCTATGATAGCAAACAATAGAACGGATTTTGTTACAGGTGCTAATCGACTTCCAGAGAAAAAATTGACCAAAGATACCTTTTCAAATACAAATTCATATGTTGATGTTGAGAGAGAAATTAATAAATTGAATGAAACTATAGAAGCTCTTAGGATTGAAAATGAGTCTTTGAAAGGAAATGTTAAGAAAAATTTAAGTGATAAAAACATTAAACTAGAAACAGGCACTTTGGACATTGAAAATGTTGAACAGATAAACAGTGAAGTTACATGTGCTGAAAACATTGTACAAAAATTAGATGCTTCAAAATTAGAAAGTGAAGTTTTGAACCAAATAGGTAAAGATGCTTCCAGTGATGAAAACATTATACATGAATTAGAATCTCTGAAATTAGAAAATGGTACATTGAAGACTAGTTTTGAAAACATTAAACAAGAGTTAGATGCTTTGAAATTAGAAAATGAAACATTGAAACGTAGTCTGGAATTCGCAATGGTGAAAGATGAAAGTGATACTGATCTACAGATATTTGAAGACATGAAAGATGCTATAAAATCAATGGAGACTGAGAGAACCTCAGTTGAGAAACATGAAAAGGAAATGTCTGATAATATGGTGCACGAAAACAAAAGGTTAAGAGATGAAATTGAAGAATTATATTCAGAAAATGATGATTTAAAGAAAAGGCTTAAAATTCATGAAGAGTCGGCAAGAAAAGAAAATGGCGAAATTTTGAAAATGTACAGCGATTTAAGGAATGAAGTTGAAATTTTGGTTATTTCAAAGCATGATTTGGAAGTGGAGTTACATGCACTCAAGGATTTACTAGAGCATGATGCAAATCCTGTATTTGAGAAAACAGAATATGATTCCAGTAGAGAACTAACTGTAGAGGATCTTGAGGAAATGGAAGAACTTAAAACAAGTATCGAAAAACTGAAGTCTGATTTAAAAGAAAAAGATACATATGTAAAGAAATTAGAAGAACACTTGCTTAACTTGGACGGTAACATTCCAGATTTAAATGTAACTCCAAAACCTTCAATGAGTAGAGGAACACCTCTGATGTCAAAGTCTTATTTAAGAAGAGGACATAATTGGTCATTAAATTCAAACCGAAGAGCTTATAGTCATGACGTTCCTACGATCAAAATAGATAAGGAGGTAAACAGAAATAAACCAGAACTTGAAAGATCACAAACTTTGGACACATCTTTACATGTTGACGATCTTGATGGAAGTAGAAATTCAGAAAGGCAGTTTTGTAAAGGACTGAAGGCAAAGGAAAAATTAACAAGCTCTACATTAACAGATTCATTAGGAAGATCATCTTTCAGAGGGAGTGTTGATGAGTCTGCAAGAATAAGATCAGGATTGAAACCAGATGAAGATGGTCATTTAGCATTGGAGTTAAAGCAGTTTGAACTTGTTGCTGAAATTACCAAACTAAGAAGAGATTTTCGTGAAACTAAAGCATTGTATTCCAAAGAGACAGCCTTATTAACAGAAGCTTTAGAGAAAGAAAAAATAGCAAATGAACTTAGGGGTATGCATGATATATCTTTCGAACACAATGTTGGATCAAATTTGTCTCATGATGTACTGAAATTAAGGAAAGAGGTTGCAAGATTAAGAGAACAAAATAGAATATTAAGTTTGGATTGTGATATGTGGATAGAAAGATTGAAAGAACAGGAACATATTGTTGCAGATATGAAAGAAAGGATAAATCAGAACACAAGTGGTTATGGGGAAATTGAAGAAGTATTTGGTAGGCAGCTTGCTTTGTTACAAAAACAGAGAGAAGAACTTATAGACAAATTAAAAGAAAGAGAAAGAGAAAATTATTCACTGTCTGAAACCATTGGTGAAAAAGGTATATTAGAAGAAACATTAAGAAAAGAGAAAGATGTTCTTGTAGCAAAATTGAAAGAAAAAGAGAAAATAGAGAAAGAGCTAAGTGATAAAAAAGTATTACTTGAGAAACAAGCAGCGAAACAAAAAGAATTAGAAGATATTGTTTACCAAAAAGATATAAATGAAATAGAACTTATGAAACAAAAGAGAATTCTTGAAGAAAACTTGAGAGAAATTGAATCTAGATTTAGAGACAAAGAGGAGAATTTAGATTTTGAAAAAAATAAACTGCTGAATGAATTGCGAGAAAAAAGAACTAAAGATGTCCGATCTAGATTTTCGGAGAGTGATGATGACGTGTCGTCTGTTTGTTCAGAAAGTGCGGCATTCTCTGATCGTAACATAGGACGCTTAGAGATCATGTTAGAACAGGTGGAAAAACAGCATTCTGTGGCTGTGAATGTTTTACGGGACCAATTACGTATAAAATATAGCAAAAAGGAGAAAGAACTAAGGAAAGAACATTTGGTTGGTTTAGAACGCTTAAAACAAGACAGCAGAAATCAGGTGAATAAATGAACACATATAAACCAGTATGACTCACACATACCTATTATGCAAGGGCAGAAGGATATAATCACAGGGCATTATTATAAAACTAATCACATGTTAAATTGTGGGATATCATGTATACATTTCACTGTCCATAATATAGATATAGCTATATGTACTCTGCAAAAGCCACTAATTTATACAGATATTCATATTTATGCAAGAATTTAGATATCTGAAGTTTCTGTTTTAGTGCTTATTGCTGAAAATGAATTAATGGTTCATCAGAATGGTGATATGACTTGATTTGTAAGACCATCAAGTCCTGACAGGTGTTAAAATGAATCTTTAATACTGCCATAGCCATCAATGTCTTAAGTAATGGATTTGTGATAAGAAAATGTCAGTACCTTGCAGTTTTAATTTTTTTTTTTTCATTTTTCCTCACAAAATATGTTAGTCAAGGCATACTTTACAGCAGAATTATTAAGAGTATCTGATAGATTTCAAATAAATTTTATCACAAACCCATTACTTGTTTTATCACTATTTTGGAAACTAGATCTAGCCTTATTCAGAATTTTGAGTCGTGAAATTAAATTGCATTGGAGAGAGGAAAAAAACAGCTAAATTATAAAATTATATAAACGATTAAGAAATTTTGAGCATTATTTTTTTAAAAAAAAATAGGCATTTGTTGCATTGAAAAAAGATATGTTTATCCTACATATATTAAGGAAGGAAAACACTGAATTACAATAGAAAGGTCTGAGATAATAAGCTTAAGTATAAGGCACAGTGAAATATTTATAATGGTGAGTGATGAAGGCTATCATTGTATTTTTGTTAAAAGTCTTTTGGTATTGTATTTCGCTTGACAAGAAAGAAACTTCAGTTATCTGTAGCTTATAACAATTATGGTTTATATATGCATATATGTTATATACAGTGTTACATAATTATTTCCTTTGTTACATAGGGATTGACCTTAACTCTGAATGTAGATAAAGATTTTCCATAAAATAACATTATATTTTGAATTAAAAAGCATAAAATTTCTGTGGAAGTAAAACTCAATTCAGTGAAGTTTAGCTGAATACTGAAGTAGGGGTTGGTATATCTTTTCAGAAGTTGATAAATTTTGATATTCAAAAAAAGGAAATAATTGTGACATTTGATCCTAACACTATCATGTCTTTGATTTTTTATGTGATTATTTTTGTCACATGAGTTTGAGGATTTGATGCTAAACAACATTAACCTGTATTAAGTAAAGAAAAATATACAGCTGTTTACCATCAAGCCTTCAGACTGATTGTGCTGGTGAAAAGTACTGCACTTTCGCTACTTTTGCTTGCTATATTCTGTTAAATATTGAGAGAATAAGTTAAGATGCAGATTTGATAACAAGATGTCTGTCAGTATTTGGCTGAAATTTGGAAACCAGTCACAGATTACATGTTTTCTAGAACACATTTGAAATTTGAACCAATTGACCAGTCCAGTGTTAACAGTTTTATTGAAAGTGGCTGACTGGCGATCCAGTTGCTGTGCTGGGTCACTTAGTAACCTGGTAAACACAAAAGAACACTTAATGAATAGTTGACCTAGCATTATAGCATTGTATAGAAAAGGCAGCGTTAAAAATTTTCACTTCTTTAATTCATCTGGTTAGTGGCTAGACTGGTTTTTAAATTTCTGTCCATCAAATGATGAGCTTAATTCTCAACATTAAAAAGCTAAATTTGTTGCTGTAGACTCAAAGCTAGGTTGTTAAGAATGTAAAAGAGACATAAATGTGTGATTAGAAAAAAATCAATGCGTCATCAAGTTGTTATTATAGAAGTTTGAAAAGTTTACATGACTTAAAGAGTTAAGTTAGATGTGATAATGAATAGGAAGATAGATTTATGATTTAACATTATCTCTTCTTATAACTAGTACATTTGTGTTTAATTTCTTTTATTTTACACAGCATTCTGGGACCAAATATGCAAGCACCCCATTATTTCTTCATGTATTTTTGTGGGTAAATTGATTTTAATTCCTCTAATTTCAAGTTTTGTTTTGTACTTTCCTTCAAAACTTTAGTCAGTGTTTTATTTATTTATTTTTTGTTTATTTGTTTGTTAGTTGGTTTGTTTGTTTTTTCAAGAATAATCTTGTTAACCCTTTGCTGCCAACAAGATGTTATAAAGTGGTTTCACATAAAGTACTATTTTGTCTATACGTATATTGCTGGGATATGATATCTAATTATTGATTAATTAATTTTATTTTTTTTCCATATTTTTATCATAATTTTAGTTTCAGGTTGAAAAATTATCGTTTTTACTTAACCATATTATTTTCTTTTATAAAAGTTTAGGTTTTATATATCTAACATAATATATAACATGAAAAGTCAATGTCTATAGATCTTAGAAACCTGTAATTATACAAAATGATACATTGTATATTATTTTCTGGCAGCAAAAAGGGTTAATCTTGATCTATTTTTGCTGAAGATTTTGTTTGATTAGGTCATGTGTAAAAGATAAGATTAAGGATAGATAGGTAGGAAAGATATCCTGATAGCCAAATGGGCATCATTCAAGGAACATTGAGGCTCTCTTATTAAGCAAAATGCTTTCTTATAGCCAGAATAAACTAACCAGCTAGCCTTTATAACACAGATATCCATGCTTTTACATGTATTACATACTCTTTGTCATTTGTGTATATTTCGTTTGATTTATTCTAGGAATATTTTTTTTCTAGAAAAAGTTCTGATAAAATTTTTTCGTTTACTTTTCATTTTAATGATTATTATAATTATATAACTAGAAAGAATCTCCTATGTAAAAGAAACATTTCGTTCCTGTTTTCCAAAGTTTTGATTTAAATTTTGTATGTTGAAAACTGAAATGGGCATTTTATAACTTCAAAATTTATCAGCGCAAACATAACATCAAATTTTGTATTTATTTTTATTGTTTTAGCCTTTTAGTACTATGGTTGTAAATTGTCTGTTTAATTTACAAGTTATTGTCTTCAGATCAAAAAAGAAACTAACTCAGGGTGTTTTGGACCAAAAAATTAAAAACCATCATTGTCAAAATCTGTTAAGGTTGTCCTTATGTATTAATTTTGTAGTGCATGTGTATATTTTGACACAAACATTTTAAATTATTTAAAAGCAAATCAATGTTATACTCATATTTATTTTTCCATTAAATGGAAGTAATCTGATATTCATCTCAAGTAGATTATTTAATGCAGTGTGTAATAAATTTATTTTCTAAATCAATGATGGAATTCGATCATAAAGATTTATAATGAATAAATATACTCGGTGATTTAAATCTATGATAAATCAATGAATTATCCCATGGAGTTTCTACATAGACAGTGATAAAAATTTATGATAAATCAATAAATTAGACCACAGCTGTTTTCTTTCGGCCAATCAGAGTACTTTAAAAGTGTTTGATATATCCCACACATCACAGTAAAGTGTTTGATATAACTATCATGTTTGTATTCAACTGAAAGAAAAACCCCGTTATGTGCACGCTTTATGCGGGGAAAATTATATGTATATAGGAAAGTTCATAGTGAAATTCCCATCTTAAAAATAACAGATAGCAATAGTCCTTTGACCAATTTATTTCGTCAGTTCATCATTTTACAAGAATAGTAACTGTATTTGTAAATACGAAAAAAACATGAAATGCGTTTATCAATCTATTTAAATCTCTATATGTATCTACATTTTACGTCCGCTTTTGTGCTAATATTTTTAGGCACTGTGCCTTGTGCATTATGCCCGGCTCACTCTTAATAGCAGACACTGTAGATGTGAATTCATTTTCGGTTTGGGATGAAGGAATTCCACTGTTGGGCAGGGGATGGGGTTTCCGAACGGTGACAGGACTGCGTTTGCAACGCTAAGGCAATGCTATGCTTTAAGGCTTCAGAGGGACGTTTAAAATATTTTTTTCAGTTCATGAATGAGGTAAAAAAAGTCAATGCAGGTTGTATATAAAGCATACAACAAAAACACGAATCTTTATGTCAAGTAAAATATTTTCAACTTCAGCCGGACAATCAATCAATATCCTGAACCCTAGGGTTGTTTAAGCATTAAGGAACATGTTTAATAAAAGTTACCTGCCCGTTTACCCAAGATCCCACTCTTGAGAAGCAGCCATCGCCCATGATTTCTGTCCAAGAGTATTTTTCGGTAAGCAGTTTTGCTTCTTGACTTCATATTCAAGCGCTGTGTACGGTGATATGTCATTTAATCATTTAAATGAAGAATCAACAGGAATAACAACAAAATCTCTCTCCTTACAAAATTGTAATAATATCACATTTAGAAATGTTAAATTCTTCCCAAATTTCTTCTCACTGCACCTTGGTGATGGTATGTGAAATCTATCATTCATAAGATTGTGTATTCAGTAACTTATGAAAGAACATGCATTATGCCATTTTCTCGTGCTTTTTTGCCTACAATAAGGCCAAATAGATTAAGTAAGAAATATTTGGATATCCCTACGTAATTGTTGGAGAAAAAATCGATTACGCATGTTTAATCTTCACCTTAAACAGAGAAAACTACCTGTGGTCTAAGTCAGATAGATCGCTCGTACCAGTTGGATGTGAGATTTATCAACTCGCTTCGCTGGTTGATAAATCTCACATCCAACTGGTACTCGTGATCTATCCTATACATATCCAAATAGACAGTGATTTAAATCTAGGATTAATCAATAAATTATCCCATGGAAATTCTTCATACTCATACTTAAAATCTATTAGTGATTAAAATCTATAAATCTATGAATAATCCAATTGAGATTCTACATAATCTGTGATTAAAATCTATGATTAATCTGTGAATTATCCCATTGAGATTCTGCATACTCAGTACTTCAAATCCATGATAAAACAACTAATTATTGCTTCAAAATGATATATCAATTAAATCTCTACAGGTTAAATCATTAAAATCTACAATAAAGCAATGAATGTATTTCAAAATCAAGACTTTGTTGTTGAATCAATAAAATCAGTATATAGATTAATGAATCAAGACTTCATCGTTAAATTTGAGAAATCTATGAATAATTTTGTTAACTGACTCATGACTGTACATAACTATTAATTCTAAGAAATATACCAGAAATAAAGTTATTACCGAATTAAGACTGCATGCTAATTGATAAAAAACTATGAGTAATCAGTTAAATATCTCTGGGCGTCTGTGGCCGAATGGTTAAGGTCTTTGACTTCAAACCACTTCCCCCTCACCGCTGTGGGTTCGAATCCCGAAAGGGACTTTGGATTATTTCATGTGAGGAAGCTATCCAGCTAGCTTACGGAACGTTGGTGGTTCTAATGAGGTGTCCCCGTTCGTGCCTCAATAAATGCAATCTGAGGACATCTGAGCTCTTCCTGCACCAGGAAAGCTGGAACGTCGCCATATGACCTATACTGGGTCGGAGTGACGTAAAACCCAATCAAACAAAAAACAAAAAGTTAAATATCTAATCAAAACTCTTTAAATTTATATATACCTTAGATAGTTGAATGAAACAGAGGTAGACTTACTTATTCAAGGGTTTGACTATTGCCCATCAACATAAATGTGCTGTGTTGAAAATTATTATTGTAAAGTTAAACTTGAAAAATAAGCCTGATAATCTAGCTATACTTAACAAAAACGGATGTCTGAGATTTTATGTACATACCATTGTAAAAATCACGTATTTTATAAATTTTACTGTACAATTTATTGTTAAGAGATTGGCGATTTTCTTAGCTGTAAATTTTTTTAATCAGCCTTGCCTTTTGTACACCTGAGTGCTTTCTTTAAACCAGTAGGTAGTTGATGTGTCCGTGAGATCTTTTTTTTGTTATTTATGATTGATAACTCTTGTGTTTACTTACAGTGAGTCATTTCAGGGTTGTTTCCCTTACTGTTTCTATTAAATTGTGTTTTTTAATTGTTATTTATATTGATTTAGTCATTTTAACTGTCTCATTTTGATTTATTATGTTCTTAGATTAAAGATTCTATATAGAAGCTACTTAAAACTGTTTCTTTTATATATATATATTTATTTTCGATAATTTGTGATTCTTTTTCTGTTTGTTAAGCGAGTTGCATGTATAGATAATAGAACATGTTTTTCATGTTTATAAAATGAAAACAGCCACATTGTTTGATCTTAGATTATATTTTACTACTGCAAGATTGTTATTTTACAATAAATTAAGAAAAAAAGAGACAGAATTGTTGTTAAAATAAAAATAGTCATGTATGTGACGAAGGTTTACCCTGTAATGATTATTTCCCCTTGAATAGAAAAATTGATGTCCACTGAAAGAGGAACAAAAGATCAATATTTAAGTTATCAACCATTTATGTAACTTAATGACATCTGAAAATATTTGTTGGAATAGAAGAGACTTCAATATTATGGTATTTGGTGATACATGACTGTATTTGTTGAAATAAATTGAAATAAAAGAACATTTCATGATAGTTATGGCAATTGGCAACATTTGTAAAGGTAAAAGACCAGTTTAAGCTTGATGGCATTTAGAATTATCTGAAATACCATTTATCACACAGGAGTTGGCAATATATATGCCAGTGATTTTTTTCACTTTATTGGGAAAATTAAGGCCTTAGCCTCTTGATTTTGGAAAAAATTATCGCTAAAATTGATGATTTGGGAAGTAAAAAAGCTGGTTTGAGTTCAGATTTTTGGGAAAACTGCATGATTTTAAAGAAAATTTCAATTGGGAAGAGGCCTTTTACGAAGTCTGTTATATAAGTAGGAAAATCACTGTATGCCAATACAATGCCTCTATCATGATGGCGATTGATAAAATGTAAAGGCAAAAATGCTTAACAGTTTTACAGCAGTTGGCAATATAAGTTTGCATATGTTTGCAATTGCAAATGTAACACAACAGAAAAAATTGTCTGGACATGGAAACCAGGTTAAGGTTGTGAACTGGTTGTCACTAGAT